TGGGAAGGCAGGTGGAGAATTATTGGGTGGACTATTGTCCAAATGATGCAAGAATAAAAGGAATATTAAATCTTTAATTTCTATCAAACAATAATGTTGGATCTCATGCATTTATCACTTATTTCATAGTGCATTCAAAACTAATTCAAAAATGATCAAATTGTGGCACTAACATCATGATACATATCACATTGTTACTAAAGTGTATTCCGACAACTCCTTTATCAGATAACATATTACCTGTAGGAACAACTTTATGTCTGTGAAGTCCAGGACCTTTGCAACGTCTCTGAGGATAGCTTCTGGAGTGCGTCCCCCAGGAGACATCTGGGCCTGATGCATGGCTTCAACAAGGAACTGTGACATACAGAGTGAGACTCAAGCTTCAGGAACAACAGGTCCTACTATGTCTGTAGTCCGAGGACCATCAATCCAATCTAACTTTATCCGAATATACCCATACTACCGTTTTACCTACATTTTATTACCGTACTAACACATGTACATTCCAGAGGCCTTACATCTAACATATCTATATCTATAGCCTTACAACACATATCTGTACCTCAGTTGTCTTTGTTACAATACATCAACAAATCAAAACCAATTATATTTCACCATCAAATCCATCTATGTCTCAGTTACCGAAAACTATACATGTACTTGACATACCTTGCAAATTGACAGTCTTGATTTCATGAATAAATCTTGAGTCTTTGTTTTCTTGAACTGTGCCACTGACTTCAACTGTAATAAAAAAGTACTTAGTGATGTTACAGAAAATACAACGTAACTTTGATAATCCAGGCATTCTCATCAAAGGTAGGTAGATTGTGAGAATTTTGATAATCCAGCCATTCTCATAAAAGGTAGGTAGATTGTGAGAATTTTGATAATCCAGCCATTCTCATAAAAGGTAGGTAGATTGTGAGACCTTAAGATTGTGAGAACTTTGATAATACAGCCATTCTCATCAACGGTAGGTAGATTGTGAGAACTAAAGATTGTGAGACCTTTGATAATCCAGCCATTCTCATAAAAGGTAGGTAGATTGTGAGAACTTAAGATTGGGCGAACTTTGATAATCCAGCCCTTCTCATCAAAGGTAGGTAGATGGTGAGAACTTTGATAATCCAGGCATTCTCATCAAAGGTAGGAAGATTGTGGGAACTTTGATACTACAGCCATTCTCATCAAAGGTAGGTAGATTGTGGGAACTTTGATACTCCAGCAATTCTCATCAAAGGTAGGTAGTTTGTGAGAACTTTGATAATCCAGGCATTCTCATCAAAGGTAGGTAGATTGTGGGAACTTTGATACTCCAGCCATTCTCATCAAAGGTAGGTAGATTGTGAGCTGTCCCCTAAACACTGGCTAGTCATTGGAACAACCAGATTAGTGATTGATGGATAAAAGATGCTTGACTGGTGATGACTTACTATGTAATCACTATTTACATGAAGAAGGACGATACTAACCTGTTCATAAGCCACCGCGGAAATCAGCGGCACTGGGGACAACAGGTTCTCCAGTAGGCTGACAATCACAACCAGAATCAGGTCATCCCCAGCCAGTCTAGTAACAGAGCAAGGCATAGTCACAATCTGGTGGCTTATCAAAACTCTCAAAACCCTAGATGGTGTTGAAGGTAAGGCAGTGCATTAAACAAATATCCACATACAGTTAAACCTGCCTATGCGACAACCTTCATTAAGAGATGAGCTGTGCCAAGAGAAAATAATCTTCAACATCAATAGTTTAAAACAACTGCCAGCTCCTAGGTTTAAGACACGTAAAGCTAGTCACACACCAGGGCAAACTTGCCTCACAGTTCTGACACTCAGCCTTGTAACACTGACCTGCCCAGCCGAGACACCGTGAGGAGGATGGTCTCTTGCAGCCGTACGTTTCCGTCCTCACGAGCCTTGTCCAGTGCCGTCTTTAGTTTGCGTACCATAACATGGTTAAGTTCGCTGGAACTGTCGCCCACCAAACAACTGATGATATGGCTGAAGAAACAAGAAATAAAATCAACTGTTTTCCAAAATTTTCATCAAAGTGTAACATCAAAATTTGTGATGCATTTAAATAAGGATTGTACAATATCTCAAAAATATCAAATATAAGCTGTCATCCACAGGCCTCTTATGCTTCTTTTCTAAGAAGCAAACCTAGAGAAGAGCAGGTTGAGTGTTCTGTAATAAATACATCCTTGAAATATCAAGCTTGAGTCCATTTTCTGTCTGCATTAATTATTGCATCTTCAAAATCCAAGGGTTTCGCTCTCGATACACTAATGCTCTCTGTGTCCCTGGAATAGGTCAAAACAAAATCAAAGGTTCCTTACACCATACCCTGTGGATGAAACAAAAAGACTAGCTTGATGTCTCTGATGAAAATCAAATGAATCCAGCGATAGCGTAATGCTAAAACCGTTTGTTACGCTAAAACCGTTTGTGTGTAACTCCTCTATAGACACAAACAAAAGACAGGTATCAGCCTAGTGAATGACATGTCTTTTAAATCTACAACTATCTATATAGCTTACTGTGAGTCTTCGATTTTGTCATGACATATTCCAAGGTTGAAGGAAAGATATGACTGCATTTAGGGCGTAACCCTTAATTATTGATGCAGACAGAAACGACTCATATTTGGTAGTCTAATGTAACGATTACCTGTACACACCTGAATCTAACTCGGACGCTGTAGTCGCTATCCTCAATCAGCCGTAGACTTGTGTTGAGCATGCCTTTAGTAGCTGGGTTGTTACTACTCAGACCAATGTGTCCAAACATCCTCTTCAGGCTTCTTATCATGGCTGTAATGGGAGGAGAAGTGGATCAGTTACAGATTACTCATCTTTGCTGCATTAGGCAGATAAATAACATCTATCACTACTGCATGAGTATTTTGTCCTGTCAAACTTTCGTCCTGTTAAACTTTCGTCATGTCAAACTTTTGTCCTGTCAAACTTCAAACTTTTGTCCTGTTAAACTTTTGTCAAACTTTTGTTCTGTCAAGCTTTCGTCCTTCACTGGAAATATCCATATTCGCCCAGTGTTCATTTTTGCCCTTCACGAAAAAGACAAAAATAAAACTGCACGAAACATTTCTTGGTATACAGTATATTTCTCCCCTTACTTTCCTACTGTAAAAAGAAGTTCTGATGGTGAGCCCTATCAACTGTAAGAGGATATTTACAGACAAAGTAGGATTGCTTTACAAGCAGATATATGTCACTCACCTAACTTGACCTCGCGGTTGTCCGCGTCCAGTAAAACCAGGAACTTGGAGAACATGTTAGGATCCACTAGCCGTGGTCGCTCCTTGGTCGACTTACAAGAATCCTTGTCTATAAAAATAACAAATTGAAGAGTCAACCATCAGACATACAGCCTCACCAACGTTAACTTTGTAATTTGCCATATGAGTTTTACTGTACAGTAGACTAAACTTGCAATTTGTTACCCGAGAGACTGACCTTGTAATTTGTTACCCGAGAGACTGACCTTGTAATTTGTCACATGAGATACACTGTAAAGTCTGTGTGGTAGAAAAGGTCCCAGGTTTCTTGAAGCTGCTACAACAGTAAATAAAAAACAACATCATTGTAAAATTTGAAATGGTAAATCTTTTACATTTTGACTACCGGTATATATTGATGGTGTGTAAATTTTCATAATTCTGCTCTAATTCTTTTTTCACTGGACACAAGAAAATATCAAAAAAAGAAAATCATTTTGTGAATGATTTCCACATATCCAATATTTTTTTGCAACAATAAAAATTCCAAGAAGAAACTTTCATGGAGTCAAACAAACAAACATGACCTACTAATATAATCTATTACACTAGACTTGATAATATTTAACTATTCTTGCCTTGGTCTAAATAATGAAGCAGAGTTTAGCAAGATTACATAAAATCCTGACACCATAGATGTGGTATTACCTCTCCAACACCTTCCCAGTACAGCTTCTTACACATGACATACGTTTTACCTGAAAATTGACTTGACAACTGTTTACTTCACACAACATAGGATGTACCTAACAACATTCACACAACATAGGATGTACCTAACAATATTCACACAACACAGGATGTACCTAACAACATTCACACAACACACAACATAGGATGTACCTAACAACATTCACACAACATATGATGTACCTAACAAAATTCACACAACATAGGATGTACCTAACAACATTCACACAACACACAACATAGGATGTACCTAACAACATTCATACAGCACAGAACATAGGATGTACCTAACATTCACACAACATAGGATGTACCTAACAACATTCACACAACATAGGATGTACCTAACAACATTCACACAACACACAACATAGGATGTACCTAACAACATCCACACAACACACAACATAAGATGTACCTAACAACATCCACACAACATAGGATGTACCTAACAACATCCACACAACACACAACATAGGATGTACCTAACAACATTCACACAACATAGGATGTACCTAAACATATTCACACAACACACAACATAGGATGTACATAACAACATCCACACAACACACAACATAAGATGTACCTAACAACATCCACACAACACACAACATAAGATGTACCTAACAACATCCACACAACATAAGATGTATCTAACAACATTCATACAACACACAACATAGGATGTACCTAACAACATTCACACAACACAGGATGTATCTAACAACATTCACACAACACACAACATAGGATGTACCTAACAACATTCATACAGCAAAGAACATAGGATGTACCTAACAACATTCACACAACATAGGATGTACCTAAACATATTCACACAACATAGGATGTACTTAACACCATTCATACAACACGCAACATAGGATGTACCTAACAACATTCACACAACACACAACATAGGATGTACCTAACAACATGCACACAACATAGGATGTACCTAACAACATTCACACGACATAGGATGTACCTAACAACATCCACACAACACACAACATAGGATGTACTTAACAACATTCACACAACACAAAACATAGGATGTACCTAACAACATTCACACAACATAGGATGTACCTAACAACATTCATACAACACACAACATAGGATGTACCTAACAACATTCACACAACACACAACATAGGATGTACCTAAACATATTCCCACAACACACAACATAGGATGTACCTAAACATATTCACACAACACACAACATAGGATGTACCTTAACATATTCACACAACACACAACATAGAATGTACCTAAACATATTCACACAACACACAACATAGGATGCACCTAAACATATTCACACAACACACAACATAGGATGTACCTAACAACATTCACACACCATAAGTTTTCCCTGACAATGGTTTACCTACTCAATATATGATTTACCTTACAACACTTTTCCTGCATACAACACAAGCCAGCTTTCCTACAGTATCTGCCAGAGCTTTCTGTATCTCTGGGTCAGTGTCCTTCACCAGGGAACTGTAAAGGATCAGTTCTCAAGTTTATTACAGTTAATGATGTCACATACTCACACTGTTGTTAGGCACAGTGCTAAAACGCATGAACTGTGAATAATTATATCAACTTAAGACATGGTTGGAAAGCTACCCTAGAAAGACAAAATCAAAGAATGCATGAATCATGTAAAATAACTGGTAAAAATTGATGGAAATGATCAAGGCTAAGGTATAATGTTATACATGGCATTTAGTGATGGGTTACCTAAGTAACATAATGAAGACAGTGTTTGCAGTAGAAAAGATAGAATCTCAAAAGTTATTGATGACATTTTAACACGAATCTATTACCTTGTATATCTTTAAAATATTGAAATATGAAAAGAAAATTACATGTACAGGGATTCAAATTAAACTAAAACCAAAAATACATGTCATCTTTTTTTCTTCAAAAACAACATTTAAGCTAACCAGGCTCTGAACAACTGGATTTGATGCCTTGTTTTGACGGTGATAATCAAAGCATTGTTACCAATGAAAAGTTGATTTGTTTTGACTTACTGAATGAGCTCGTACACCAGATGGTTTGCATTGGGTCCAAGGTGATGCAGGAGCAATGGAAACGTGGTCAAAGCTGACCGGCGCATTTTGGACTGACCATCACCCTACAATGGTTTATATCACTCTGAGGTATCACTGTTCATACAGGGGATTCGGCAGGGATATTACAACATTTACCCATCAGCTCACAACTCTATTGTCTGTATAGTTCAAACTCGTTCATAGTCTGAACGAAGCAAGAGGCCCTAATGGCCTGTGTAGCTAATCTTATCTTGCAAGAAAGATACTTGTATTGAACTTTTTCCACCCTCAATTTATATATTAACTCAATTTGAATATTGTGAAACTTCAGCCAAAGTGTGTGGTAGAATTTGAATACATGACATACCTGTGCTCGCTTCGCTACCCTTGGTCAATTAATTTTAGGGAAAATGTAACAGATTTCCCTGATCACTTTAAAACCATTGGGATCAATAAGATGCATTATTTGGTCTATTATTGGTATGTATCTGTCAAACATTGAAGTGTACCAGTCAACATAATCAGTCAACTGAGCACAGCAAACTCTAAGATACTCACAAATGCCTGTCTGAAGACATGCACTCTCCACTTCGGGGCAACATCTTTAGGCAGAAATGATAAGACACGCAGACTCTCCAATTTAACAGTATCGTCTGAAATAAAGAGACCAGGGGAAACATACAGCAGGGACAGATGTTCAATGGTGTCTCTCCTACTTTTCTTTACTTCAGATACAACATATATAGTATACCATATTTATCTGACAGTAAGCCCATGCCTTGTAATAAGCCTACCCACATCTATTGCAGTTCAGTAGAAATGCCAATAAATACTAACTCCCTGTCTTGTACTAAGCAAGCCCAGCTTCCCTATACCGAGATGGTATGTTGGTCCCCTGGGCTTATTGCAGGATACATACAGTATAATGGGATACAGATCTATCACCTATGGCCACCAGGTAAAAACAGGGTTTCTACAATTAGGTCAGATCCTATTTAGTTGTCCGACACATATTGCCTCCATTACCAGGGGTTGAACCTCAACCTACCAGCATTCTGGGTTTAGTGAACCTCCGTGTACTGGAACTCTAGGTTTAAAGGGTGACAAAATGATGACGGCAAGAAGAGGTAATAACAAGTAAAACATTCTGGACCACAACCAATCATGAATGAATGAGATTTTTTCAACACCTTCTCAGAGAAGGAATTTCGACAGTTGTGAGATTACGAAGCTCTGACCTAGGTTTTCCGAGAGTTGTTGACTCAGCTTGACCACTTGTTTGGTGTGGGTCATCTTCATGTCCATACACGAGGGGTCATTCTGAAATATCAAAGTAACATCATCACGGGTCTCTCAGTGTTTTACCATTCAATGTGCATTATATGCTTTATCATTAATTACTACTTTTCTTTTGAAAGAATGTTGTGTGGTCTGTAATAGGTTGGAGTACTAGCTATATTTGGGTATTGTGACCGAATCCAGGTTTGACCACTAGGTGTTCTGCAGCCTAATGTAAATTTGACCACTAGGTGTTGTGTGGTCTATTTTAGGTTTGACCACTAGTGGTTTTTTTTAGACTTACTGGTACCCAGGTGAGAGAGGAGATCCAACACATGGTGGTCATATCTTGAGGGTCAATATCGCCAGCATCTGTATCCATACAAGATAACATGTTACATGACATGGGTCAAGGTCAAAAAACAGATTTTATGGGCAACAAATATAGTAGTTTATTACGTGAAATCATGCAACCACTTTTATGACAAATGAAGTTTGATGACAATGTTACTGTCATAGCATGTTTTTTCAGTTTTATTGAAAACTAAAATGTATACATATGATCCCTGCTCTTCCTTTGATGGAAATCTGAGACTTAACGAAAAGTCTGAACAAAGAAATGGAGCTAAATGAAAAGTCTAACCAAAGTCAAAGAAAATGTCAGTCAAAGTGACAGGCATTTGATGTATTATAGGTGTAGTAGGTACTTGTTATAACGTATCTTCATATCAAGAAGTTTGATGACTTGACTTCTAGTACATTTTATTGAAATAAAGGAGTTAAAGGTTAAGTCGTACAAAGATGTCCCAATCATATCACAACAAACAGAACTGTTGTAAATTTTACCACTAGCTTAAGGTACCCTAGAGCATGGCTTCCATATTTACACCAATAAGCGATTAACGATCTCAACATTTGGCACAAGTCCCTCATATAGAATAACTCAAATTTCCCAAAGAGAAGGACTGGAGTCCCCTATACATGACTTTAGTCACTCACAGATGACGTACCCATAGTGAAGGACTCAGGTCAATCTCAAATTTTGCATGTAGAAGGCCTAGAGTCCTTTTATAGGACTCTAGTCACTCACAGATGACTTACTGTAAGTAAAGGACACAAGTCGACCATAGTGAAAGACTCAAGTCGACCATGGAGAAAGAAATTCTACTTACCATAATGACAGAGCAGAGTGGCAAATGTTTGTAAGACAGTGCCGAGCATTTGATTGATGGATGCCGTAGACCAATCAGGACACAGCTGGATGACAGCGGCAGCAGTCGACACAATCTCGTGGCATGTTGTCTGTGGCAACCAGTGTTGGAATGACGTTCGTCCCGATCTGCAATATCATCAAAACTAAATCTAAACAAGCATTCATAACATGACACTAAATCCACTTCCGTCAAGAACAATATTTGTATTTCCAGTAATTGTTTTGTGTAACAAGGTAGCTGACTCTGCTAGCGGGCTAAAAGTCCACAAGGTTGGCCCTAACCTTGTAGTTAGAATTTATTCCGGCACATTTGACATGAAATACCAAGAATAATTTAAGTTGTAGACAAAAGTTTTAAATTTTAAATGTTATGAAGGAATTTACAGGTTAAGTGAAATAATTATCCTGGACTGTACAATTTTAATATTGTGGATTACTTCTGTGATTTCAAAATTAACATCTGTATATTAATTTTGAGAAAAATGTTCCAAGCTCCACAGAGAAACAAAAAGAAGGATAATAGTATTAAAAGTCCTCTAAACTTCTTCAAAAGGGATATAACTTGAGAACACTTTAATATGTGCACATATTCAGAATAAGACTATTTATGGTAAAATGAGTGTAAGCTATTTCTTTCATGGCATTCACTCCTTTTTAAAAACCATCGATACGTTGTTATTGCATCAGAAGTTTCTTCCAGACAAGCAAATGTTAACAGTCATGGAAGGGCAGACAGACAATACTTCACGTCAAGACCGGGGTACAAAAGAGATGTATTTCACTTACGTTGACCCGGTACGAGTCTGTTGCAGACATGAAATGAGAATGCCCACACAGACACATACTCCCTCCATGCTCGGCAGTACCTGTGAACCAAACACTGTATCATTATGTTACCCTAGTGGCATGCATGTCGAAAAACGTGAATTGTATGAAACTTTAAAGTCATGTCCTTTTTGGGATACGTATTGTATCGTGACCACAGTATCGGGATACGTATTGTATCGTGACCACAGAATCGGGGATACGTATTGTATCGTGACCACAGTATCGGGATACGTATTGTATCGTGACCACAGTATCGGGATACATATTGTATCGTGACCACAGAATCGGGGATACGTATTGTATCGTGACCACAGTATCGGGATAAGTATTGTATCGTGACCACAGTATCAGGATACGTATTGTATCGTGACCACAGTATCGGGATACCTATTGAATCGTGACCACAGTATTGGGATACGTATCATATCGTCAGGTTAGTGTATCATTGTAGCCCTAATGATCAATCATGGATTTTGAAGGAATTACCAAAACTAGTCGAAACGTCCTTCATAGGGTCTCTTAGAACATTTGCTTACTGGGCTTGGTTTGTACTTTAATTAATGTTTACTGCTATACCAGAGCATGTCCACACACTATCTGTACACAACACAAAGATTATTGATCTGCAACGTTAACTGTGCCTTTAGAAATGTCGCCAGTAACTATTTCAAACCTTTATGAAACCATTTTATACAACATGCTGGCAATACCCGTCAAATAAAATTCTAGTGTCACCTTGTGCTTCACCAGGGCCCGTATTTATGAAACCATTCTCATACTCAAGCATGGATTTTGTGCTCAAGCCAATTTTCTTGTACCTGTTAAACTTAATTTGTCAATAATTTGGAAAAAAAATGCAGAGACTTAATGCAGAAAACTGTTTTCAATGTTTACATTTGACTTTTTGAAAATCTGACATATTGATTTAAGTGTGTTATAAGTAGATTGGTTTGAGCACGGAATCCATGCTTGAGCATGAGAACAGTTTCATGAATACGAGCCCAGACATAAGACAAAGCATAAAACCACTAAAATACAATACATTATTAAATGTCATGAATTTCCAACATTGTGCACGGTTGCTTATAAAATCGCAGATTTTTATATCATTAAATTTAAACAGTATATTGCTATCATTTTTAATCTGGAATGTTACAAAGTGATCAGATAGGAGACATGTACAGATTACCTTGGTCCCTCCATCTTTCACCATGGTGATCAGGGAGGCTAACTTGGTGTTGACCATCCGATGACGCTTGGTCAGTCTGATGCGACCATCCTTATTCAAGGTCTCTGCCTTCCTACAAACATAAGCAATACTCTAAAGTGTTAAAAAAAAAGGATGAACTAAATCATCAAAATGTTTGCAATCTATCTTTCTACACATAGAATATACAAAAGATTCACAATTCCAAAAGCTGTAGACAATGTTATCCACTAAATAAGCCTCAGATGAAGATCTCCACAAAGGACCTATCATGACAACAATACATTTATTTGGTACTGATTTTTGTTTTGTTTTGTTTTAACCAGTGCCACAAAGTAGAATTTGGGAAAGTATAACAGACATTGTAAGGGATTACTGCAATAAGAGCAGCAAATAAATTTCCCTTGTCCAATGTTATATATACTAAATTGGTTAACATTCATCGAGCTCTTTACAAGCAGTAGACTTATAAAGACTGAAATTCACCAATTTTACCAATTGGACCTGCCCAGCATCCTTAAGGGGGAACACACCCTGCCTTTGTACACCTTTGATTCTCTAGGTCACATGGGTGCAACATTGCAATTGGCATATGCTGTGCCATGACATGCCTTGGGTTTGTTAGCGTATTATCTTTGTTTTGATATGTGATACCTTACCAAAGGAAATCTACAGCAAGTATACAATGTTAATATTGACTTTGACCCATATTCCAAGGAAAAAACTAGCTTCAGAACATACTTCTGGGCACATATATCATTAATATCGGACAGCATTCTGAACTGAACAAAAAAGTAATACCTTTTACGTTGTCCGTATTGAGATGGCCCGGGCTGATCATCGTCCTGTTCCGACATCATTCCTCTGGACACAGATTCAACGCTCTGGTCACTGGGTACTTCCAGCATAATAGACTTGACCAATGGGGACACCAAAAACTGAGGGAAAAATCAACATTACATTCATTTTTAGCTCTAAAATAAAGTTGTGAACTTTTAATAATATTTTGATCAATAGAATAACTTTGTATTCCTCTGAATAAAATTGACGCAATTTTAATATGCAGCTGTCGACTATAAAACAAAAATGAAATTTAGATGCAGTTTTGAACATAATTGACCAATTATATAAATCTATGTACCTTAAGCTCTTGAAATTGACCACAGTGATTCAGCAAGGCTGCAAACATATTGGTGATCAGCGGATTGAAGATGCTTCCGCACAGAGTGGCTCGGGGTACAGTGTCAAGTATGAAGCTGATGATATTGGACACTCCCTGCAGTAAATTGGTAGTCTGAAGGGCAGTCAGGCCCTTTGTGGTCAAGATCACGGCAATCTTGGAAAGAAGATACTGCATCTGAGACACAGATAGATGGATCGGCTTCAGGGTGGCTCTATCAGCACCGACGATTTCCTGAAGTACTCTGGCCAGATTTTCTTCCACCTTTACCACCCATCTAACAAGGAAAAAGTTTTGCACTTATAGTTCCTCAACCATCCAACTGAGAAGTCAAAAATGTGATGTTTACACACCAGGAATGACACAACAACGAATGATGGGCGATTACAATAGGTGAAATGAGTTATTCAGCTGACCCCAAAATAATAAAAAAATATATATTTAAACAATTCCTCTGTGACAATCTTTGTTATATGGTAGAAAGTAAAAATGCTTGGTTTTAAATTTAACTCACTTTTTCTCTCCTCCTTGACAACCAGAGCACATCAAGTCTAGTACAGCTACTGAGCATGACAGGAAGTAGTCAATAACACTGAGCATGGGCAGACCAGTGTGCCGTAACGTCTCGCTAATTACAAAGAATGAAGCCTAAAAAAGAGATATGTTCATGTAAATCAACTACTCCAACGAGATTTTTTTTACCATACCTGAAGATGAAGCTGTTAGATTGGGTTTACAGCCTCAAGGTCAAGGTCACTGAGTAACAATTCAGAGAAGTTGTTTCAAGGTCAAGGTGTAACAGGACATTATACCTACTTACAGCCTCGAGGTGAAGGTCAATGTGTAACAAGACAAGTTGTCTACATACAGCCTCAGGGTCACTGAGTAAAAAATCAAGAAAGTTGTCTACTTAGTCTCAAGGTCAAGGTCAATCGTAACAGGACATCTTGCCCACTTACAGCCTCAAGATTAAGGTCACTGTTTAACAAGACAAGTTTACTACTTATAGCCTTGATGTCTAGGTTTCACAGACAAACCTAGTACTTATTTCCTTGTGGTCAAGCTTACAGTGGAACAAGTATCTACTACTTATAGCCTTGATGTCTAGGTTTCACAAGACACATCTTGTACTTATTTCCTCGTGGTCAAGCTTACAGTGGAACAAGTATCTACTACTTACTGCCTTGAGATCAAGGTTTCCATTTTCCACTGCCCAACACATGCAGGCCCACACAGCTGGGAGTAGGCTGTGGGTCACCATCCCTACATCCTCCACCACATGACCCAGCAGCTCCCTACAGCAAATGAAACATCTTTTTTTCCTTTATCAATTTTTGTTTTTTTGGTGTTGTTGATGTATTAAACTTTACATATCCATAACTTTTAACTTAAATATCTGAGCAATATTCTTGTTTCTATTCTTTCTTTTTATTTTCAAACATTCAAATTTCAAAGAATTACACTTCTGGCATGTGTATGGCAACATGTGATTTTTTTTAAATATTTCTTTTGAAAAGTCTTAAACGAATATTTTACAAAAGTGACATTGGTAATAATTTGGTTTAACTTGTTGGTATCCTTTACCTTCAATTTATAAATCATTGTAAAAGTTACATAGCCTGTGTAATTCCTCCTGGAGTTAAAAACTGCAAATATATTTTAACATTATGCCTTCCCAGGTTAAGTTCATCAACGTGAACTTCCCGGTTTAGTTCATCACCGTGAACTTCCCGGGTTTAGTTCATCACCGTGAACTTCCCGGGTTTAGTTCATCACCGTGAACTTCCCAGGTTTAGTTCATCACCGTGAACTTCCCGGGTTTAGTTCATCATCGTGAACTTCCCAGGTTTAGTTCATCACCGTGAACTTCCCAGGTTTAGTTCATCACCGTGAACTTCCCGGGTTTAGTTCATCACCGTGAACTTCCTGGGTTTAGTTCATCATCGTGAACTTCCCAGGTTTAGTTCATCACCGTGAACTTCCCGGGTTTAGTTCATCACCGTGAACTTCCCAGGTTTAGTTCATCATCGTGAACTTCCAAGGTTTAGTTCATCACCATGAACTTCCCAGGTTTAGTTCCTTACCATGAACGTCTTACGAGGTTCGACTTACGTGAGATTGACCTGGAGCATTTCACACGTTTCAACTGTAGACACTTGAATGACAGCCGGGGACAGCTTGACATTAGTAGGACTTGAATGCTACAACATACGTATATATACACTGTAATCATTCTCTAATAAGCCCAGGGGGCCTCCACAACCTTTGACTTAAAATTGGGAGGTGGGCTTATTACAGGACAATGAAATAGATTTTATTTGTTATTTCTACTAAAATGCAATAGATATGGGTGGGCTTATTACCGGGTATGGTCTTATTACGAGATAAAAACACTCAATTTCTATATATGATACATCAGTTGTTTTCCCGGATTAGAGAGTCTAAGGGAAAGATAAATCTCACAAAGTATAGACCCCATGTATGGTTGGTAGTCTCAGTCCATTCTCACAGGTGCATTCTATGGTGAATGGTTGATATTTTTTATAATGTTAACTCATTCACAACTGAAATTTCATAATGAACTATTCCAACCTTTGAATTGGAAGAGTTCAAATGTGTCTTCAGGGGTGAATGAGTTAAGATGCATTTTGGGTTAACATGACCAATAGACTGATTGTCTTGGACTAGTTAAAATTGAGGAATTCATAAATAGTTCTTTCGTTTTTCTAATGATAGAAAATAATATTTATTGCATCCCATACTATTGCTATCTGATATATTGTTTAAGATGTTTTAGACAATCATTTCTTATACATCGCATATGTGTGATTAATTTATCTTATTGTATAAGTCCCTCTGGAGCAAACTTATGTCCATTTCTAAAACAATTGTGCACAAACCTCTGCAGGGTCGACCAGGCTTTGTCGAACATGGTCATCCCTGTAAGTGAACCTGTTCAGGGATTCGTCTGGAAGAGTTTCGTCTGTACTGTACAACCTCTCGTTCAGCTTCACCAGGTCTGTAACAAAAGTGACCACTCCTTATCTACGATGGGTACAAATTGCACAAAAACATGTAACTATTCCGCAATAACACTTTCAATATTTATCTTTCAGGAAGCCCAGAGTGTCAACATAAAATCTTTGGCTATGGGAGGGTGGCTTATTACAGGAAAATTTAATAGATTTTGTTTGGCATTGATAAAGCATGGGTTCAATGTCAGATAAAGACAGTAATGCAGAAATGGATCAGTTCCTACTTTGGGCTAAATATCTATGAATCTAGACAGACAGATGAAAAACAGCCTCTCCAATCGTCAATGCTGGTGGACAGTAACAGGTGGATGTTTACATAAGAGACTGGACCCATACCTGCTATGGAGTGTATAAGACTGGACAGTAGGCTGTTGTAAAAGTGGATGTCCTTCCACTTGACCAGCTGCAGCAGATCGACCACCACGGAGATACACTTCTGATGAAGGTTGGCACACTGACTGGAGCTCAGCAGTCGCAGCAGTTTGGCCAGACACCAAGTTGTGAAGGCTGTAATGTTAATTTAACCAGGATTTACAGTTTCCGTAGTTATGGAAATCAGGACACAAAAAAAGATTACACATTATTTCTGTCTACTTTTTTTGTTGAAACATCGAAGATTTACCCAACAAATAAAACTATTACAGTATTCATATAAATCTGTTAGGGAATGAAAGTCACTAGAGACTAGGAGCTTCTTTGGGACTTAACATTCTCGCAACCTTAAAGGAGTTATCAAGACCAAGACCTAGGGAAACACCACCATAAAGAAAGTATAGAAAAAGATGTGAAAGAAAGGAAAGATTTAAAGTTTTGCAATAGAAGCATCAGACCAAAAACGGTCTCTTCAATGTCCTCAATGTGGAATGCATGGAAGAAAACCTATAATTCTGCAGGGGTCTACACATTAGTTGCCTCTTAAATCATGTAGGGGTCTACACATTAGTTGCCTCTTACATCATGTAGGGGTCTACACATTAGTTGCCTCTTTCATCATGTAGGGGTCTACACATTAGTTGCCTCTTACATCATGCAGGGAGATACAGTGAGTCAATTTTTTCAATGAACCTGTTCAGATTGGAGACTGAGTGATGACACTCAGTGACCGTGGTTGTAACACCCAGAAACATAAACCTGTTCAAGGTATTCTCATATATACTGGACTATAGTAGAATGTTTGATGAAAAACTGTTCAACATTTAAGTCATTAGAGTGATAACAAAAATGATCTATAAATAGTAATGGTGACCTTGGTACCCTGAAACACAAACTCCTTAAAGGCATTCTCATACTTTACCACTGTATTAAGTTTTATATAAATCCATACAAATATTGTATCTCAAGAGTGATGACAAAAGGTAACTACAGTATGCATATGTGCAAACGGATTGAAATGTCACCTTCACCCTTCACTGTGAGAGAATAAAAATTGTGGGATTAATATACCAATACCTATACACAACAACTGTCTATTGTTGTAAAGGAGAATGATTGTGTGGACAATTTTCCAAGTACATCAAGGGCAATAACTCTGCAACAGTTATCAAATCAATGTGTCTGATATTTAAACATGCAAAACTCATATGATGATGCTAAAGCCAGGACAGCTTCATATATGGAAACTGGGGAGCTATTGTCCGAAAATATGTTAAGAAATGTTAGGCAGCACTGACTGACAAACAACACTATACCAGGAAACGTTAAACAGCAGTTTCAATTTGGCTTTTTTTGCCCTCTGTAATGAGATAAATTTATCATGAAAATAAAATCAGGCAACAACATAATAGACAAACTAACCAGATGTAAAGGGCAAAATGAACACCGGGGTAAATATGGGATTTTACCCACGTAGGACAAAAGTTTAACTGAACGAAATGTTTTGCAGTATACTACATGTTCCATAAAGAAGGCATCATAAAACAGAGGTAAATCTAAAAGGGAAGTTCTTAAGACATTGTGTCTGATACCATAGGAAAGGTTCTCCTCGTTGCCAGCTTGACCAGGTTGCTGATGGTGACTATGGGCATCATCGGATGGAGGACTGCCAGGCACATAAAGGAACATTTCAGAGTGCTTTTCAATCAGCAGCCGGAACCACTGGAGAATCATGAAGCACTCGCTCGACTCGCCTTCACACTGCTGCAGCGACTCTCCAACTAATGAAAAGAAACGATAAATACCTTGTACACTTTGTACATATCAAAAGACAAATTACACCAATATCACGTATTGGTCTTAAAGTGAATATAGAAATATTTTTATTACTTGAATTATATGTTTCTTTGAGTTATATGTCAGAAACTGATACATGTATTATGGATTTATGTTTCCTATTTTTATCTATATAGGTATTTTCTGAAATATTTCTGAAAAGATTGCTTCAACAAAATATGTTAAAATTCAATAATATCACAATTTATGACATCATAATATCGAGAATTACATGTATATCTGAATCCCCTTACCTGATGCTAGTACTTTTGGATAGTTTAACATGTATTTCAGGAAACTAGAGCATTGGGTCCAGACTAGTTCAAGATCCCACTATATCAGGTCTATATATAGGTCCAAATTTATGCGTATCTATATATATTAACTACTTTTTAGATTAACTACTTTTTAGATATATACATATGTATCATGCAATTGCTGTGAATATAAGTTAAAATTTTAAACACTTAGAAAAGTAAGATAGATGCATTTGAATGATTAGGCATTAGTAATTTATTTTGCCTAAGACTAACTTGTATTGACATCTGTGAGAAAGTTTTCCAGCAAATGTGAAAGGAATGTTCTTTTTTCATACATGGACTGGTTGCCTCCACCCTGCTCTCCTGCACTGAAATGAAAAATAAAATAATTAGCACACTGGATTTAACTTTTACAAAGTAAAAATATGAATGTATATCCCCAAGTCTGACTCATTGATTGGCTTATTAACTAGCCAAGGAGAGCTAATATGGTATGTATCTGAATTGACTTCAAAACAACTTCAGAAATATTTATCTGGAAATATTAGTGTACGCTGACAGTACTGTAAATCTCATAGACACAATGTGTTAATTAAATCCCATATATATGTAATTCATAAAAAAACTTCTTTTCTAATATATGATTTGCACCTTTAATTTGGTTTAACTATTATATCTATCATAAACAATGTAATAATTCTTAAAACTGAAGTAAGTAAATGGGTATATAAATCCAGGCCAAAATACAAATTGATCTGCACAGATTCGGGTCTAAAACCTGTCTGGGTTTTTTGTCTTTATTTTCCGCGTTTAAATTCTTCAATTAATGTTAAATGGTCATACTACTTACCTATGAATCAGCTCCATTGTTGCAATGAATTTTTTTCTAGACATGATGAAATCTTTGATTACTCAAATGATCATTACTAGGAAGTTACTGCCAGTTACCAATCTGTACAAAAAAAATAAAAAAAAAGTACATCTTTGTCAAAAAACTTTCAGTAACAGAAAAAGAGAGAGTAGTGTGCTTCCACCGCAGATCGAACCTGCGATCCCAAACTTACTAGTCAGACGCTCTACCACTGATCATGAGCTAAAGGGAAATTCCATCTAGCGCGAAGTTAAAAGGTGACCACAATACTATGTACAATTAAAATCTGCCCGTAATTGTAGGCAAGTTACATGTATGAAATTAATTAGACTTACCAGGATACATAGCTCGATTGTTTTGGTACAGAGATGTGATGAATTGACTTGTACAAGATGTTTCAGTACTTCCCTGAAGTTGCTTCGATATTTTATGTGATGTTTAACACTTGGACTTTAAGTTTCCTCAGCATCTTTTGTGTTAACAAAGAAATAACAAAACATCCTGATTTATAAACTTAGCTTTTAGTAGCTACCATTATACAGAGAAGTGATTTCGACTCTGAATTGGTGCAGTACTGTATCAAAAGTGCACCTTTAATTCTAAGAAGTTTCCTACAAACCTAACTGTCTAGCTTGAGTTCTAGTTTGCTGAAATTGACAGCAAACCACAATATAAAGGTGTTATTACAAGGTGTCTAATGCAGGGATTTCAGCATCTTTGTGGCTCATATAAGCTGATGTAGTGGTAAGGGACCCCATTGGAATTAAGCCACAATGTGGCTTTATGGGTCATCCCAGGTAAAGGCCTAAATTAATCTAATCCAATCCAGTTTTAACACCCGACTGACTTCTAATTATCTTATGGCATAAATAACTTATTTAAGAAGATCTCATTCTGTGATAATATATATATATTTATGTCCAATCTGCAAAATGTGATAGAAGTGTATTATTTGCCTTTTACCTGAATACATATTATTATTATTATTATTAACTATTGGACCTTTTCTTGGATATCCACGGTTATACTTTTACTGTTTGATGGGGATCTCCAGTTGAAATAACGACAAAACGCCTATTCCTTCAGTTATTTGAGCACTCTATATCAAAATAACTTGCATTACCATATGTTTTATACATATAATAAACAATGTTTCCATTAAGTTACTCTGAGTATAATCCAATAAGTCGGCGTGTTTAGTTTGGACATCTCGACTCTGGCTCGCTAAGAATTAATATTAATGTCTGCATCATTGGATTAACATGTAATTAATTCACTTGTAAATTCATTGAATTCGAACGCAAGTTCAATAAAAGCCTACACATTAGGCATTAAGTTACAGAGAAGAGCTGAATGTGATGGTAAATCTATGAACAGCTGATGAAATCAGATGAATGTTCTGCTAAAAGTTTTACGGGCCGTACTGGACTGGTGTTCAATCTGCCTAGTGGCCATGATTCGTGCCTTTGACAAGCATACTTCTGAAGTTATAAAATTAAGAAAAATGTTAATCCAACGAAAAAAGTACCATTAATCCACTCTGAGGCACTGCAATGACCATATGACAGAAGTAAACATACCTTTATTTACAAACACATGCTTCGTCCATTTTATTTCCCGCTTTAGTCAGGGTCCCACTAACGCTTGTTTTTCGGTGTAGCTACTGTAGACTTGTGGTAGCCCGAAAATTTCGCTGCCCCATGGTTGGCAATTAATAAATGTTTACCAACAGAATTGTAGTGCACAGTTTCAGAAACTTAATTTATCAATTGAATTAAAAAAGGAGCAATTGCGTGTACCCATTTCACGAAAAAAATCTATTGAAAACCAATTAAAAACATTATGTTCCAATTACTTCTAATCTAATTCCGTGACATTAGTAAACATTTGTATTCAGGCGCGTACGTAGCTACCATGTAATCCAATAAGCCCGGGCTTGCACATGATTTTGACAAGTATAGGTTTTCATCACGTTTTTTTCTTCTTGCTGATACTATAAAGTGGAGTTTAAGTTTTGAATATATAGTATACATATGTAATTCCTCAGATATGATACATTGTTAATAGTTAGTGGGGCAACCTCGCTTCTCGAAATGACCAACAAATAACAGGAGCAAGTATAAGGAACCAGTTACAAATCATAAACAGAAGACGAGACTGAGTAAAGGTGACAGTGGGGGTAACCTCGCTTCCCAATTAACTCGGATCAGATTATGACGAAGACAAACCCAATTGCATGTTCACTAATGCAGAAGTATCAAATGCATTATCAAGATTAGGTAAAACCAGACAATGTATGTATGGAGGGTGTACAAAGCAATGCCGACGGTTAATCTTCAGAATTACACTGGATCCACGTAAATAGGTATATAGATATACAAAACATAGAAATTTTTTCTTGCGGATTAAAACGAGAAAACAGACATCAAGACGTGGTAAATGGCTCCTGAGACGTGCTAGAAAACACAATTTTCATGGGGGAGATCCCCCAGACTCCCTCCCATACTCTCCCCCTGCTCGTGCTTCCGGAGGGGGGGGGGGGGGGGGGGGAGCTGCCTTTGGCAACCCTATGTCGGGCTTACACATGGTAAAGGGGCTAGCTACGCGCCTGGTATTGCCCCAAACTGGAGCAAATAAAAACAAAATTAAGAATGAGAAAATTACTAAGGATTAGGTTATGTTATGCTATCTAACGAATTACAAATACGTAAACTCGATGGAAGAAAAGAGGACTTCAGTGTTCGAGGAGAATCTCATTCTAATATATTTTAAAAAGTGAATCTAGTTTAACACGTATTTCAGTTTTCATAAGAAAACATAACCTTTCCCATTACCAAACTACAACATCCTGGAAATGATTCCGACATTTTCACTGTGATCTTGCATTTGAAGAGAAAAGAAAAAAACTTTTCGAGAACAACAAACAATTAGCCAACTTTTTTTAATTATTCCATGGCCTTGTTGAGAAAAGTCTGTACTTTGTGACATGAAAAGGATAATGTCAAAAGGTATCATCTGTGAATGATCAGGAGGCCAAATCAAGTACAATAGCAATATATTTAATGTAAATATAAAAAAGAGGTACCCGAAGTATCGAACCTTGAGGCACACCCATATACATGTACATGAAAATGATAGAGCGAACACTTTTAAAAATGAAGTACGTCTTTGAAAACTGCACGCTCTCCAACACCTTACAACCTGTAGATAGTGTGGGTAAATGTCTATGATTACACGGCGTGTGACGATTGCACCTTTTACACAACGACAAAACGGTTTCAATTTTCTATTTATTTGGATACTGTGACATATTAAAAAAAAATGGCAAGATGTTTGCTAATAGATTCAGGTGATTCTTCAGTACATAACGACTAGTAAAAAAATACGTCAAACATCTTTCAGAGTTCTGACTGATTTACATTATTCATGTGAATGCAGTGAGCGTGTGTAAGCATGGGTGTGAGGGAGTATGGACAAAAAAATGTATATGATCTATATATATATGCGTATTGTACCTGAAAGATTTTTTTTTGACAGACTGGAAATGGTGCATCCACGATATCCATGGGTTACGATCACGTACGCGGAATATGTCATAACAAAATTGAAGGCTCAGTGTGCGCCCGCTTGTTGATGAGACAAGAAGACTAGTTCGATCCTTTGATGTACATCAAAAGAATCTCGCGGTCGCGTAACGATAAAAGTTGACTGACTTTGAAGTCGGGTGTCGCTCCTTTGTAATATCACGGAATTAGATTAGGTTATCTAAGTCCGTGGTAATATTCAAAGGACATGTATCAGCTTAGTGATCAGTCAGGTTCTTTTACCCAACCAATCAAACAACTGTCTTTGTGCCGTCAATTTTGCTATGACGTATTCGAGGGGTGCATAGAGCGTAAGTGAGCGTAACCCCTAGGCCTGGGTATGCTATCGAGGATGGAAATAGTGCAGCGCAGGGCTGTACATGTGCGCTACGTGCTTAACAAGCACAGGTACAATCACCTCAAGTGTGTCTGAAATGTTGGACCACTTAAAATTGTGCCTCCTAGCAGATAGACGAAGAGATGCACGTCTTGCCATGTTTGATTATATTGTCAATAATAAAGTTGCTTTGGAAAATCTGACAGACAGTCAGAAAATCCAGGCATGGAACTGATCTCTCTTTCCAAATTCCTTTCTCCAAAACTCTGTCTAGAAAAGAAACTTTCTTCCCTCAAACTATATCCGAGTGGAATAAACTCCCTCCTGATACTGTATCTAGCTAGCCTGACAACAAACTCTTTCAAATCAACAAACTAAATTCCTCCTGTCAAAAAAAGTTCCTCTTCCCATCTAAACCCTCCTTTGACATTAAACTTCAAATTGTTGAAGTTGGTCAGTACCCTGTAGATTAACAAAGAAGTATAAGCAATGACTCCAATAAGCCTATTTTGATTGGCTATTATATTTACGTATACATACATATATCTAGAATCTAATAGCGTGGACATATTAAAGATCCATGTCCTCTGTGTTGTTTATTTTTCCCCATATATATAGTAACCCATATAACTTCCGTTTGGATGTAGACCTTCACATAATTGTAGCTCAAACGATTAGAACTATACCATAGGCCTAGCTAAGAATCTGAATTCCAATAAAGAGTTCGTAACCGGCCCTAGTCCCGCTGCACTTTTCATTAATTATCATTTCTTATAAAATCCCGAAAAGAATGGGTTTCTTTTCATAAATGATTTATCCCGGTTGAAACGGTACGAACGAACGCACTTGGACCGTTCTATAAGCAGAGCTAAAAACGCACAGTTTGAGAGAATAAAAAACATTGTTTTAGAAAGAAATAACGCAAATTGGCAATAGTCAGCATTTTAGTTTCGGTCAGGTACGTCTGGACCCCTCAATATACACGTGCCAAATGTTCCTGGGGTCAGCCTCGGTCCAGATCTGTGTCTGTCGTTTTCTTTACAAGTTTACCCCTGGTTTTTGCAGCGGTACGAGGATACTTAAGACGGAAAAATTAACAAATGAACAAACCAAAAAAAGCCCTTACATCCTTTTTAAAATAAAAGCGATCGCCCAATAGTATGTAGAACTATTTTGTTTAAATATTTTGAATGATAAAAGAGAACCCATTTCTTCACGAGAAAAAAAGGAGTTGACAACGATTTGCGCTAAAATACTAACGTGAAGGAGTCTTTAAAATATATACCGGAAGCGTTATGTTGCACGTGTTAGTGCGAGATTTTGAGACGAGCAGGTCCATTAATACCTGTAGGCGATAGAAGAGGAATACTTGCAACATAACACGAGGAGGGGCAAACATATATAGTAACATGTAAGATACAGTCAATTTGGATTATAAATATGCCAAACTAATTATTGCCAAACCTTATGATTAGTACACAGGAAATCGAAGAAAAGTTGTCAATAGGAAAAAATCGAAATCACAGCTAAAAGATTAGGACACTATTTCATATAATAAACGTGTTCCGCTTGCAAGATAACGTTTATTTATCGTTAAAGAAAGAAACTCTAGGCATGTTTTAATTTTGATTGGGATAATATCGTGGGTAAGACGCGTACACGTCAGAAATACTTCGGAATACTTGATGGGAGGTAATTCTGTAAATTCTGTATTGATTTATATTAAACGAACTGTGAACTGTTGACTGGCATCAGGTTGATAATTCTACAGCGTTGATCAAACAGAAAAAAATTGGCATAATCCCAATATCGGTATGTGAAATGCATGAAGATGTTATTTGACATTCGATGAATCATTTGGAAACATGTGCTGAATAAGAAATCTTGATGAAACGAAATTCATGGAAATGTACCCTTAAAAATGTGTGCAGTTTGTTACAATTAGGCCTGTGACCTTCATTACTCAAGGTCAAAGATGAAATAGGTGCTTAATTTTAAGTAAAAGTTTGTTCAGCCATTAATCGGTTAACTAGTAAAGATGTACAGTAGATTTTTCTTAATATCACTTCCCATTTGTCAGAGAAAAACATGATATTAACAGAAACATGACATAAACAGAATACATATTTTCTGACAATTTTCAGTCCTCAAAACCGGAAGTGAACCTAGTCAAATGCCCAAGTGATGTGACTCTACGAAGAAAATTGATATTTTGTAACTAACCTTGTTCTTTACTCTAGTTGAAATATAGATATAAGTAAAAAAATATTTTTTGTATTTCATTTCAGTAGGCAGTTACATTTCATATAGTTAGTAGCAAAATGACGATCAGTACGATCGTAATTATGATTGTTTACTGCAGTAGTGATGTAGGCATACAAGTGTTCAGCTGGTATTCTGCATCAAATTCAATTGTAAACATGAGACTTGGTAAATATTTACCTATATCTTGTTCTTTCGCTAGCAACATCTATTTATAGGTTAATTTCTTTAGATATTTGCTGCAAGTGTGTAATCGAAGATAGTACACATGTTATAATTAGTTGAAAGAATACATCACACTTGGCATTAGAAAAGTATACAGATGTTAGTCTGTCCTAGCTCCCCCAACCACAGGTGAATATCATGTTAACAAGTATGTAAGTCAACCTATTGTTTAACAGTCAGCTAGGTGTAACCTATTGTTTGACAGTCAGCCAGGTGTACAAAATACCCTGTTAGGCCGAGGCATTGTTTACATAACGCGTCCAGGGTGTGACAGAAGGTCCCTAGGGCATTTATCATGAATCATTACCACCATTTACCTGTATTTTTTTGTGACAGTGGACAAAATAATGTATTATGAAATATGTGACTGAAGTGTACCTGCACCACCCACATTTTACAGGTGTGAAGTTTACCTTGATATGATTCATATCAGTAGGTGGGGTGCACTTGTTTGTTCAACACAAACTAACCTATACCTTCACATAATAATAATCAATATTACTAACTGTGTCGCATATCAATTCACAAGTGCAATTTTTATATTTGATACATAATGAATATAAAATCAAATTGATTCCAGCTACATTGTAGCAAAGAATAGCAGGTTGCCATGCTCTGCCTTAATTTTTACAACATACATGGGTGCCTGCCCTTTTTATGCGCCCGTCAAAGTTGACGGGAGTATTATGGTATGGGTTTGTCAGTCCGTCCGGCGTAAACTTTTGTTTGTCCGGCGATCTCCTCCTACATTTTTCGACCGATCTCTTTGAAACTTAGTGTACATTATAATCATGAAATGAAGTTGTATCTCCCTTATAAGAATTTTGATTTGACAATTTTTCCAAAAGTTATTGCCCTTTGTTCAATTCAGTATTTGATTTTTTGTCCGGAGACCTCCTCCTACATTTTTTGACGGATTTCTTTGAAACTTAGTAGGCTAAATAATCATGACATGTTGTTGTGTTTCCTTTAAAAGAATTTTGAATTGACAATTTTTGCAAAAGTAATTGCCCTTTGTTTATTTCAGTATTTGATTTTTTGTCCGGAGACCTCCTCCTACATTTTTTGACGTATTTCTTTGAAACTTAGTAGGCTAAAAAATCATGACATGTTGTTGTGTTTCCTTTAAAAGAATTTTGAATTGACAATTTTTGCAAAAGTAATTGCTCTTTGTTTATTTCAGTATTGGATTTTTGTCTGGCAATCTCCTCCTACATTTTTCAACGGATCTCTTTGAAACTTGATATACATTACCATCATGATATGAAGTTGTGTCTCCCTTAAAAGTTTGAATTGACGATTTTTGCAAAAGTTATTGCCCTTTGTTCATTTCAGTATTTGAGATTTTCTCCTACCTTTTTTTATAGCATGTCGGCTAACCACTCTTAGAATGATGCAGATCTTATTTCAATGTAAGAAAGTATATAATACTATATGGCATTCGACGGGCGTATATTGTTCTGCCCCGCGGTACTCTTGTTCTTTGTTGCTAATTGTGTTGACTACTGTTGAAAACAGAACTAAGGAGATGCCCCAAAGCATAATTTAACTTAATTATCCCTCACTACATTCTGTCACTGCCCTAATCGTACCTATAACAACTGCAGATATTGCCAATATATCTGGTAGACTATACCCGTATGTTACCCTCAGATTGCCGGATACTGTAGTACAAACAATAAACTCCAATCGTATGGTACTATTTTGTATTAGACTTGAAGGTAAGCATAGACGTGTGCCTAGCTCAGAGGCTTACAATGGAACTCCTTGTTACATACAGGATACTCTCAATATACCTTTACATGACAATTAATTAACTAAACAATAACCAGATGAAAATAGGCGTGAAATAAGTTGTGCCTCCCTTTGTCCGTAGAGGTCATCAATTAAGCTGCCTGCCCTTGGTAACAAGACAGCCTATAATTGAAAGATAACTGAAACAGCAATTAATTTACCACTTGACTTTCAGATCATTATTTCACTCTTAACACCGTATAGTGTGTGCCTATGACACACTAAATTGTTTTCTTATTGAAATACGGAAGTAATGTAAATGTGGCAGTATGAAATTATAGGACTATTATTCATGTGTTATGTATGTATATATATATATATATTATGTGTTCATATCAATATATGGGTTAAATCCTTTTACTGGTGGACTAACAAATAATAAAAATGATGGTATATTTCATTTGGAACCACTGTCATTACTAGGTTACATAGAGAAACTCATGTACCTTACAAGCATAGTTATTATACCTAGTTATTATACCTAGGTGAGGGTGTTAAACCAATCTGATTAAAACCAGATCTTTGATTCCACTCCCAATATACTCTATGTTCCAGTCTTTGATGTTCCTTGATTCCACTCCCGATACTGGAACGTAGAGTATCGGGAGTGGAATCAAAGATCTGGTTTTAATCAGATTGGTGTTTAACACACTTTCTTTCCTATTTATTAAAATGTGTACTAGTCTTTAACTCTTTATCTTGTAAAAGATGACGTGGTGGTCCTTATCTTGCATTGTTAGTTTTTAATCAGAAGAAATTTAAGATATGTGGCAGTTTTGTATTTATCCTGTGATAAAAATTGCGTGGGATTTAATTCTTAAGACGTAATATGTGTCTCAAGACAAGGAGTCCAAAGTGAGACGTGATTCCTCTGTTATCATGTTCAGGAACGGTAGGTGTTTTGTCCATGTACGTGACACGAGATAGAGTGTATATGCCCAACTCCATCGGTATGGGAGATAACATTTAGTCCAAAGTGCACTCTTTAGTCATAATATAAACAGAGTTGTCTGGGACCTACACTGGGGCAATAACCAGGGCTGACAGTTTACGGATGTATAGGATATATATGAACAAGGCGATTTTGAACTGACCACTGGTCAGCAGATACTTTTATATCACAGACAGGGTACTGGATATTACTTTTGTTCGACAACTGCATGCGTCTATATATAAATAGATGTACCTGCAATCTATAGAAGTTAAGAAGTGATTTGAAAACCCAGATAACTTGATACATATTTGAAGTGATGGATAATAGCTTGCAATGGATATTTAAAAAAACCTAACAGGATTCACTGGAAAAAGCATGTGAAAACCAAATGAAAAATTGAGAGAATTTTAATAACAACAGGAGGTATGTATATATACAAATGTATAGGTGACCGTGTGAGTGGCTTATTTTGTCAAAATCAACAGCATTGACTTTGATGTGTAGGATAAGATGTTTGTTTGTGCCAAGCAATATAATGGACGATGATCATGACCACATGCTAGTCTGAAGGCCATCCAGTCCCAAGGGGCCCATCAGTACGATGGCCAACTAGCTATATAGTCCGATGAGTCAACGACCTGTCAGTCTGAAGGGCCTGCTATAGCCCACAGTGGGTAGCCCAATACAATGATCGTGTTTTTTTGTGCCCAAAAATGAGAACATGTGCCAGTTATTAAGTCTTTCTACTTTGTATACTCACAAGTCTTCAGTGATATCACCATCCATTACTGACTGCATGTGTAAAAGAGTTTAAAGAAAGTACAGAAAATGTTCTCAGGGTTTTTGCCATGCAGCTACTTGGGAAAATACCATCAGCATTTAGAAAAAACTGGGAAATATCATCAGTGTTCTCACATGTACAGATCTGGGAAAAATATGAAATTGAAAAAATAAAACCTGCAATGTGATAAGCAGAAAATTTCCTCTAGCTTTTCTTTAAAGTAAAATGTTAGATAATTACATCAATTTTCAGTGTTTTTGTTTAAGTTAATTTCAAATTTTCTTGGATGGTTATGCTTTGAACGTTGTAAATGTAACCTAGGGAAACTTGTATAAGCATACTTTTTAATCCAATTAGGAAAATAAAGACTGAAATTGGGAAAATGCAGGGTCATTTTTCAATTGGGAATGGGTTCCTGTATCGGACCCTATAAACCCCTGGCAAAAACCCTGGTTTTTTATTGATAATACAACTGTAAACATTATCGAAAATAAACAATGTAGTATATTAACTGACTCATCAAATTACAATGTCATTTCAGGACGACAGAGGGATGACAATTTAGATTGTTCTCACTTATCTTAAAGTACAGATTAGATATGAAATACATATTAATCCTAGATATTCTAAGTTGAATAACAAAGTTCAGTTGAACTATTTGTCCTTTTAGTGATCTTTTAATATTTCACATTAAACTTGATTTAATGTCAGCAGAAGATGATCGAGTGGTACAAATTAGTTCACATTTGCCAGGAAGAGAGTAAGGCAACTTTAGTTTTAATTTTCACTTCCCAGGTTTAGCTCTAGCCTGGCCTGGCATCATTTGGACTAGCTCCCCTTTCAGCTGTAGACCTTGCAGGTCTTATTTACTCATTAGTCATCAAACTTTTGAGGATTGTTTTTCTATAACAAAGTCCATTTCATTTCTATAATTCAATAGTTTCCACAAGTGAATAAAATATGAATTCGAAGTTTTGAACTTTCAGTTATCAATCCCTATCTTCTGTGTTGGAGGTTTCTACAGATATAAAATGTACTCATTTGTCTTTGCAGTTATTCAAACTGGAGTGATTTAGCTAAAGGGTCTGTAACAAAGAATGGCTGATGTGGAATCGAGTGTAGCGTCACCTAACAGTGTGGAAGCATCGCCTACTGGTCTGGAAGAAGTTGAGTAGGTGTTTTAACAGTGAAAATTAACAGTTATTTTGCTGTAAAGGTAGAACTTTTCATGGTGTGGAAATTCTATTGTAATTCTCTTTTGAGTAAAATGGTGCGAAACTATCAACATACAAATATTTATTTATAGATTATGAATATTACAAATATAGAGAATATACATTTTAGAACCTTTGCCAATGTGAAAATATTTAAACTGATGAGTTTCAAGAATCACGATTCAAGCATTCCCCACCAGAATGTCAACTTTATACAGCGTATACTCATGCAGGATAACATAGACACACCTGAATCAAACCAACTACGTTATACTATATCACTGTAGTAGTCCACAAAGGAATGTTCATGTTGTATGCTAATTTATTTCCAATTGACATACATAATCAGTCTAATTGTCTTCTTATTTTAATTCCAACTTTAACTCTTACCTTGTTTTTCTGGAGCCTTGCCTGTTCAGGTGTGATTATATCTGTATGTTATTCTGTTATAGGGTCCAGATTGAACCTTGCCTGTTCAGGTGTGATTATATCTGTATGTCATTCTGTTATAGGGTCCAGATTGAACCTTGCCTGTTCAGGTGTGATTATATCTGTATGTCATTCTGTTATAGGGTCCAGATTGAACCTTGCCTGTTAAGGTGTGATTATACCTGTATGTTATTCTGTTATAGGGTCCAGATTAAACATTGCCTGTTCAGATGTGATTATATCTGTATGTTATTCTGTTTTAGGGTCCAGATTGAACCTTGCCTGTTCAGATGTGATTATATCAGTATGTTATTCTGTTATAGGGTCCAGATTGAACCGTGCCTGATCAGGTGTGATTATATCTGTATGTTATTCTGTTTTAGGGTCCAGATTGAACCTTGCCTGTTCAGATGTGATTATATCTGTATGTTATTCTGTTTTAGGGTCCAGATTGAACATTGCCTGTTCAGGTGCGATTATATCTGTATGTTATTCTGTTATAGGGTCCTGATTGAACCTTGCCTGTTCAGGTGCGATTAGAGCTGTATGTTATTCTGTTATAGGGTCCAGATTGAACCTTCCCTGTTCAGGTGTGATTATATCTGTATGTTATTCTGTTTTAGGGTCCAGATTTAACATTGCCTGTTCAGGTGTGATTATATCTGTATGTTATTCTGTTTTAGGGTCCAGATTGAACCTTGCCTGTTCAGATGTGATTATATCAGTATGTTATTCTGTTATAGGGTCCAGATTGAACCTTGCCTGTTCAGGAGTGATTATACCTGTATGTTATTCTGTTATAGGGTCCAGATTGAACCTTCCCTGTTCAGGTGTGATTATATCTGTATGTTATTCTGTTTTAGGGTCCAGATTGAACCTTGCCTGTTCAGGTGTGATTATATCTGTATGTCATTCTGTTATAGGGTCCAGATTGAACCTTGCCTGTTCAGGTGTGATTATACCTGTATGTTATTCTGTTATAGGGTCCAGATTGAACATTGCCTGTTCAGATGTGATTATATCTGTATGTTATTCTGTTATAGGGTCCAGATTGAACCTTGCCTGTTAAGGTGTGATTATACCTGTATGTTATTCTGTTATAGGGTCCTGATTGAACATTGCCTGTTCAGATGTGATTATATCTGTATGTTATTCTGTTATAGGGTCCAGATTGAAGATGCCAAAAATGTTGAAAACAACAATTTTCCGCCTCCACCAACCGAGCCAATAGAAGCTGCTGACAAGGTTGTCCGTGTCAAGGGTACAGGGGCAGCAGCGAAGGGAGAGATCATTGTTAACGATGAAATGAATGGAGATGCAAAAGTCACCATCACCACTAATGGAGATGTAAATGTCAATGGTGAGGTCAGTGTCGCCGCTGGTGCGGAGGTCAAGGTCGACAGTACCACTCCTGTAAAGGTCAAGGTCAATGGTGCATCTAATGGTGGAATAACCGTCAATGGATCGACACTGAAACGAAGTAGTAAGCTGGAGCTGATGTTTTAGTTTTGAATCTTGTTAAATTCCATGAGAATGTAGAAATAAATATAAGCCAGAGACCAAGGTCAGTTTCATCTAATCATCTATTTGAAAAGGTCCAAGTGATACAGAAATATGCCTTGATCGATGCATTCAATTGGACCATAAGTGGACCTGCATACTAGGCTTAGTCTGGTTTTGAGTTTCATCCCGATACGACAGAATGGACCCCTCAATCTACACATGCTGAATTTTCCTGAGGTCAGCCACGTTCCCAATGTGTACATGTCATTCCATTTGAGGTCCAACCTGTTGAGATGGTTCAACCAGATAAACAAAAGAGGCCCAGAATATGTGGTTTAATGTATCTACTTGCCCAGTGATTTATATTGGCCAAATTTTGTAGTGTGTCTTAAAATGTGTAATATTTCATGAATCAAATTTTTCACCTACCCTGTCATTATTGCATGAGACCTTGCACACAACATATTTCTTTGGTCTGATTGTGATGATGAGAACATGAGGTTTCTTTTGTCTGATCTGTGCAAAATTTAATTTGAGACTAAATGAATTCAGTTGGACAAAATATATCAAATTCTTTTGCCATAACTTTCCAATCAGATGTGTTCAAAGATTGTAAAAGAAAAATAAGTTGATTTTTTTGCTTTTCAAACTTTTGTTCAAACTTAAACCAGGTATAGATGACCTCCTGCCAGCCACAGCACAGTATACAACAAGCAGAGAGGATGCAGTCAAGCTCCGAATGGATGACACTGGACCAGGTGTCATGAAACCACTGACTGTTCACACTGTCTTCAAAAACACTGTAGACAAGGCGCCCAACACTATAGCACTAGGTATAAAACAATGGACAGGGGCACCCTGGTACTGACCGCTGTGACTTGATTGACAGCTACAGGCCCTCAACACCCCTTCATAAAACCTGTAAAATATGTTAGATTCTAGAGCTATGTTTCTGTTCAAGAATAGCCTGGGCAAGTAATAAAATGCAACTCTTCATAAACAGACACTACACCTCTTTGTATTAATTGATCCTGCAATCATTTTGATCACAACTATAACTGCTGTATGTGTGTTTTACTATATATATATATATATTTTCCTTCGCAAGGACTTATTTATTTATTATCTACTATATATATATATTGCCCACTGTATATACCTTGACCACTGTCTTTATCTTAACCGCTGTACATATAAGCTACCGACCTTGGTGACCACTGTCTATTTTCCCCCTTATATATCTTGACCTCTGTACATCTTAACTACTGTCTATTGTGACCACTGCCTATTATTGTCTTGTTATATCTTGACCACTGTCTTTATCTTAACCGCTGTACATATTAGCTACCGACCTTGGTGACCACTGTCTATTTTCCCCCCCTTATATCTTTACCTCTGTACATCTTAACTACTGTCTATTGTGGCCACTGCCTATTATTGTCTTGTTATACCTTGACCACATGTCCTTATCTTGACAGGTGTGAAGAGAGATGGGGCCTGGGTAAAATGGACTTATAAACAGTACTACGATGATGTCCGTCGAGTGGCCAAGGGTTTCATCAAGGTATGAACACATCTGGATCTGTGGCAGATATTTTTAGCTCACCTGCCCGAGCTTATGCCATGGTCCGGCGTCAACTTTTTACTATAAACAACTTCTTCTCAGTAAACAAAAGGCCTAGGATGATGATATTTAGCCAGTAGCATGCTGGGATGACAGGCTACCAACTTTGTTCAAATGAATGACCTTCATCCATTTTCAAGGTCACAGGGGTAAAATATGTTAAAAGCTTTTAACGACTTCTTCTTAATAACCAAGAGGCCTAGGGTAATGATATTTTGCCAGTTACATGCTGGGATGAAGGGCTACCAAGTTGTGCAAATGAATGACCTTTACTTATATTCAAGGTCACATGGGTCGAATATGTTAAAAACCTTTAAAACAACTTCTTCTGAAAAACCAAAAGACCTAGGATGATGATATTTGGCCAGTAGCATGCTAGAATAAAGCGCTACCAAGTTTGTTTAAACAAATGACCTTGACTTATATTCAAGGTCACAGGGGTCAACTATGTTTAAAACCTTTTAACAACCTTTAACTAACCAAGAGGCCTAGGGTGATGATATTTGGCCAGTAGCATGCTTTGATGAAGGGCTACCAAGTTTGTTCAAATGAATGACCTTGACTTATATTTAAGGTCAAAGGGGTCAAATATGTTAAAAACCTTTAAAACAACTTCTTATGAATTACCAAGAGGCCTAGGGTGATGATATTTTGCCAGTAACATGCTGGGATGAAGGCCTAGGGCTACCAAGTTTGTTCAAATGAATGACGTTGACTTATATTCAATATATTTACCCTGGGGGTAAAGGGGCGAGGCCCAATAGGGGAAATAGAGGTAAATCTTTTAAATCCTTTTACCATAGGGATTAAGGGATTTCATCCCAATTTGGTCTGGAGCATCTTTGGGCAAAAGGGAACCAATTTTGTATAAACAGTGAGTGTGGCCCCCCTGAGGACTGAGAAGTGGGGCCCATTACGGGAAACATAGCAAATTCTTCAAAATCCTTTTCTTCTGTAGGAATGACAGGATTTTGTCCAAATTCGTTATGAAGCACCCTTGGGTGAAGGGGAACCAATTTTGTATAAACAGTGTGTCTGACCCTCCTGGGGGCAGAGAGGCGGGGCCCAATAAAGGGATATAGAGGAATAGCTTTAATATCCTTTTTCTTCCTTTGGGATGTATTTTGACCAAATTTTAACAGTATCATCCTAGCTATTTGGAAGGGAAATCAATTTTGTATGTATGGTGGGTTTGAACCCCCTGAAAATCAATAGAGGAAACATAGCAAATTCTTCAAAATCCTCCTTTTACTTTAGGAATGACAGGGTTTTGTCCAGTTGTTTATAAATATAACCCCTGACTAACCATGTAATACATGTACACTTCGAGTATTATCTGTCTGTTTTTCAATTTTGATAACATTTCCAGGTGTGCGATACTGGCCCTATGGGCCCCTTGTTCATTCTTTAATATGAATCTTCTATTTGCAGCTTGGATTGGAACTGTACCATGGTGTTGGGATTGTCGGCTTCAACTCTCCAGAATGGTTTATGGCCGACTTGGGTGCCATATTTGCAGGGTAATCATTGAAACTTCCCATGTTTATATAATTACAAACTGTAAACTCGTTATGCAGGGTATAAGGGGAGCTGGAGACATAATTCCAATATCTATTCCAATGGAAGAATATCTAGTGTATAATGTTGTATGTAATATACTATATACCGGGAAATATTCGCCTGTTAAAACTTTCACCTTTCTCACATAAACTCAATTTTTGCCCGGTGTAAATCTCGCCTTGCACATAAAGTTACTATGTATATTATGCTGTCTACCTTATTCGCTGTAATGATAAATTTGCCCTTGTTACAGAGGACGAAAATTAAACCGCAGCGAAAATTGTCCCAGTATGCAGTAGTTTATATTTCATATGTGTCAACCTCTGAAACCTCCAATGAGGGAGATCTCCCTCATTGCACATTTCCAATGAGGGAGAAAGTGCGTGAAACACGACTGAAACTACTTTGCTCAATATATCTTTCCCTTTTGTGCATCAAAATAACTCCAAATAGGATTTATTTCATTTAGACACACTTGTTGTGATCATTACACACACTGTCACCCTGCAGTAACGAGGAGATCATTTGACCACAGGATGTAGATTTTGAGTTTGTGTGAGTTTGGACTTGAATGAGGGTTTTTTCGAGGGCGATTGGTAAATTTTGGTGAAAATGAGAGAGTCTCCCTCCTAGTGAGTGAGGGTTGACAGCTAGGATATTTCTATAAATCGCAGTATGAAGGTCTCGTCTATTATAAGCTACTGGATGGCTCTTTATCTTGACCAGGGCAAGTGATGCATTCACTTCGATGGAATTCTAAATATGAAACAACCTTCAGCTTCTAAAAAATTCATGGTATGGGAACAAGTTTCAAATTATTTTTAAATGATTTACTAAACTATTTTAAAGAACTAGTTATGTCAAAAAATCTATTTGATATTTTTTGAAAATGTGACGATTTTTGCGAAAATGTGAGAGTCACAGGGTGAAAATCATCAATATCCAGACTGTATGATGAAATAAAAGGCGAATTTGTTGTCACAAAACCAGTTTGGGTTTATAGTTTCGGTTCAGAACCGGGTCGGCCATGGTTTTAAAACTGGTTTTGGTTTGACTACTGTTCAAACAAATATCTGGTTTAACATAAAAAATGTCTTCAAAACAAATCTTCAATTCTTCAAATATTTTTTCAATCATAACGTTGACACGGATGATATCCTCGTGTGATCGGTCTCCGCGCACTTAAGAAGCAGTCACGAGTTCGTACTTATATCGGTAGAAAACTGTTGAAATTACAGATGACTGTCATAGACATGTACACAATCTAACAAACATTTCTCAACGAATTTCACCTTTCATCTATTTTGATTCAGTGTTTGAAGAAAGAATTCTCAAATACACTTTGCTAGTTATTTCAAGTATGATCTTTGATTGTCAAATTAATTATCGAAACAAATTTTTCAAAATTGCACATTTTTGTATTGATTTTTCAATATGTCAACTTGAACAAATTCATATAACTTAATAAATGTATTCATTTAGTCATAATAGAAATGTCTGCACAGCAGAAATGGCCGTTTAATCAGTCGATATCTTGAAAAAATCCTCTGCATTCACTTCATTCTGCCATCACGCTTTTTTTTTATTAAACGCCATCTTTGATTGGGAAACCAACTACAAAACCACAGCTGGGTGCGGTTTGATCAGTTTTCCGAACCTGTTTTGGATCATCATTAACAAATGAAAAACCGGTCTTAGTTTAAGACTACTATTAAACTGGTTTTCATTAAAAAATAGAAAGTTTACAAAACCAGTTGAAACTAAAACTACTTTTGTGATAACAAACTCGCCTAATGTTTGTAAGAAGAGAAACAATGGATTCTTGTTTGTAATTTTCACTCCTGTTTTGCAGAGGATTTGCAACAGGGATTTACACAACCAACACTCCCGAGGCATGTCAGTTTGTTGCCGCTGATTGTGAGGCCAATATCTTAGTTGTTGAGAACAATCAGCAGTTAAAGAAGATCTTGAAGGTCTGGGACAACTTACCACACCTCAAGGCTATAGTCCAGTACACAGGGGAGGTCGCCGAGAGGAGGGATAACATTTACTCGGTAAGTTGTCTAGAGGCCAAAAGGTCGAGGCCAAATTTAGGACTGTGTGGATATATAGCATATACAATACTTGATGTGTTTTCTAGAGGTCAGAAGTGAAAACTAGCAGTGGCAAATAAAGGGGAGAACAATGTCATCTAAGAGGTCAGAAGCTAAAGGTCAATGCTAGCACTGACACATAGATGTGACTTAAAGGAGAGACAATACCAGCTGGATAATTAAGTTGTCCAGAGGTCAAAGGTCAAAACTAGCACTGACAAATGGAGGAGGCATAGAGGAGAGATAATAACTACTTGATCAGTTGTCAAGAGGTCAAAAGTGTAAACCTATGGTGGTAGAAAGGTGGAGCAGTGTGTACTTGATAATATGCATAGGGATCAGGTCAGAGGTCAAAGCTCCATGCTAGTACTGACATTCGGAGATGTTTGAGAGGAGGGAAAATATCTATTCGATAAGTTACTCAGTAAATTGTCTTGATCAAAAGGTCAAATATGAAAGCACATTGAGACATGTAGCTGTGAAGATGGACAATAACAACTGGGTAAATTGTCTTAGAGAGGTCAGGGTCAGATTTCAGACTGAGTGGAATTAAAAAAGGAAAGTCAATGACTAGAGGTCAAAATATGAAAACCAAAGCTGACATGATAGAGAGGAGGGACAGTATAAACTCCCAAAGTCACAACTAGCACTGACACATGCAGGTTGAAGAAATATAGACAATATATACTTGATAAATGGTATATAGATCAAAAGGTAAAATACAAAAGTAAATGGAGGTCAGTTGCTGAAGAAATAAACATTACAGCTCTGTAAGTTCTATCTAGAGATAGAAAAGTTAGGGTCAGATAAATGATTGACATGGTTGGTAGTAGTGTTCTATCTAGAGATAGAAAAGTTAGGGTCAGATAAATGATTGACATGGTTGGTAGTAGTGAAGAGCGACTGTAACTACTTCAAAAGTAGAGGGTCAGTGGTCAAAACAGTTGGATATTAGACAGTAAGCTAGCACCAAGACAAACAATTAAAGGTTGTTTACAGTATTTGTATTTAATGCACACCTGGCCTCACTTGTATAAAACATCTCAACTTTTAAGATTTCCTCCAGTGTAAGATTTCCCATAGACAAAACATTGCTGAAGATTTTCCTCAACTTTGATATGTTTTATATAAGTGGTCCCTGGTACTTAGGATGATCCCTAAAATTGAACTATACAGGCTCTATCTGTTTCAGTGGAGTGAGTTACTGGCCCTGGCTGAAGAAGTCCCGGACTCCGACCTTGAGGAAAGACTACAGCAACAGGCTCCTAACAAGGCCTGCACCCTTATATACACGGTATGTAGTCGGACCACATCTACAGGCTCCTAACAAGGCCTGCACCCTTATATACACGGTATGTAGTCGGACCACATCTACAGGCTCCTAACAAGGCCTGCACCCTTATATACACGGTTATGTAGTCTGACCACATCTAGAGGCCTTGACATTTATAAACTCAATATTTAAGCATTGGATTGACTCTCGGCATAGAAACCAACTTGCTTCCAAACCTCTATTAAAGCAAGATCCTAAAACATTTTCATGGATATCGTCGAGACTTAACCTGGTGAAGCATATCTTGTTTGATGCAACATGTGTCTAAAAATGAAATAAAAAACAGAAGAGCTAGCTTTATGTATTCACCACAGTTTGTGAAAAAGCAAGTGATGAAAGTTATTACATTAAGCTTTCTAATTCTATATCTTAATGATTCTAGTTCAAACTTCCTAGTGATTATCTCCCTTGCATGATATATCATGTTTTGCTTTGATCTATTTTGCAGTCGGGAACGACAGGGAACCCAAAGGGAGTGATGCTCAGTCATGACAATGTGAGTCATAATGTTAGGTTATTATTCTGATTTGTTTCTTATCTTCAGGAAGTTTCTTTAACTTTAGGAAATTGCTGAACTTCAGGAAACTCCTAACATAAGTTTTTCCATAGAAAGTTACAGAACATTTATGAAACTGGGATGTGTTTATCAAAGTAGTCATTTTTATAAAAGAACTTTGATTTTTGTGTAATTATGAAAAATAAGACAGCAATGATCAACTTAAACCTGTAGATTTATGATGGTAATTAGCAATTTATAACATATTAATAATATGATAATTGTAAACAATTTTGCATTTTGTCAGTCTAATTGTAAAGTATGTGTACTAATACCTCCTGTGAAAGCATGTCTTACCAACTAACACATCCTTTAGCTGGCATGGACTGCAAAGTACTTTGGACGACATCAGGGAGCCGTGTTTCAGCAGGAAGTGTTTGTAAGTTATCTACCCCTGAGTCACGTAGCCGCACAGATGATGGACCTGCACATACCATTATCATACGCTGTGTCGGTGTACTTTGCTGACCGAGATGCACTGAAGGTTTGTGTTGTTAGATTTTTGTCTAAACTGTTCTCCTTGCTGTACCATCACACAGAGGGCATATAATACAAAGTTGACTGTTGCAAAGAAGAAAAAGTATTAGACTGAAAAACACCCATTTAACATTTTATATCCATCTCAGTTGGAGATGGAGATTTGAATACATGAAATGTTCATAGTGCCATGTTTTTCAAAATTTGGCGGTGGCGGGGTCAACATTGATTTTTACGGTTTGACTAAATTATTATTTAGTTTCACTGAAAGTATAAGTGCTAGACCAACCAAACCTGGACCATAGATGCGCATCATCTTAGGTAGTACATCTCAACCCATGCATCAAATGCCAGATGCAGGTAAGAAATTGTTATTATTTGGCACCAAAAGGAAAAAGAAAATCAAAAATTTGAAAACTGGTAATGTTAAGCTGTCTGATATTATACAACACTTTTACGTATTACATGCTGGAAGTGAGAAGGTACAGAGAGGATTTCAGTGATAGCTGTTTGAAAACCTGTGTTTACTTCATAGTGTTATATCCTTCAACAGTTGACCTGGACAACACAGAGAGTTGGCGAGGCCCTTAAGTTGGCTTTCAATATAGAAGATATTGGTGTTAGTTATCTCCCCATGAGCCACGTGGCAGCCCAGATAAATGACTTGTACGTTCCCATGGTACATGCCATGTCTGTGTACTTTGCTCAGGCAGATGCTCTCAAGGTTTGTCGTTTACGCTTGGCATGGGGGTTGCATTTGTCACTCATACATAACATAGATTGTGTTGGCCATTTTGCATGAGTGGTGCATCAATCATTTATATTTTGCATGTGTCTTGTTCAAAGTTTTTACTTCGCATGAGTCACGTGTTTGTCATTTATTATGTCCTCAAAACGGAGTGGGGGGGGACATTTGTGTTTACTTCGTTTCTTATTATTATGTCCTCCAAACAAAGTTTGTGGAACATATTGTTTTTGGTCTGTTTCTTGTTATTATTATTATTCTCTTTCAATAGCCTCCGTCGTGAACTAGTCCGGACGTTTTCTCCGAGATGACATTTGTTTCATCCAAGTCAACTTATTACTGGGCCTAGATATTTGAAGCAATGCTAAATAACTTAATAGTCGTTATCTGTAAATTTTCAAAATGTATTCATTTTTAACCATCAGAAATTGAACAAGTGCTATTATAATTTTGTCTTTAGATGATCATTAAAGTACAGAGATATGAAAATATTTGAGAACCAGAATGTTTGTAAATATCCAGTTAGATTGAGAGTCCTTTCAATTTTATACTCTATACAGGCCCTGGAACTTTAGTGTAGATTTTGTTATTTTCTCTTAAAATTCATGCAAAGACAGCTATAGGTTTTTCGCAATTTTTAAAGAGTTCAGGTCATTTTAAACAATTGACACCTATAGTATTTAAAAATTTAATGTGCAGATTATCTATAAATAAACGTGTTATTGCTATGTCATGGCTGTTTGAAACACAGTTGAAACTTTTCTCCTGAACTGTTGTAGAAAATCTATGTGAAGACAATAGGTCTTCGAAAGCTCTCAACACTGAGGGACAATAATTTTTAAATGTTTCCAAAAATAGGCGTGAAGTAATGTTTTTGTTACCCAGTGGGCAAAAATAAGTTCCGTGAATCCTTATGCATGTTTGATAATCTTATTTTTATCAACTCTGTGATGTCATACTCTGTTCATTTCATATTGACTGGTACTGTCCATGGATTATAGTCCATCAACTGAAAATATTAATTGCTTCACCTCCTCATTTCAATGTATACCTGGGTATATGGGATTGGATAATACTGATATATGATAAGAGGGACACATTGAAGGAAGTCGGTCACACACCCTTCCTAGGAGCTTAATATGAATTAACAGTATGTTTAATGTAACATAGGGTTCCTTGGTAGAAACATTGAGGGAGGTCCGTCCGACAGCTTTCCTAGGAGTGCCCAGGGTGTGGGAAAAATTTGCAGAGAAGATGCAGGAAAAGAGTCGAGAGGTGAAAGGGATCAAGAAGAAGATTGGAGCATGGGCGAAGGTTAAAGGCAAAGAGGGTGTGATGGCTAAAATGGAAAAGTGAGGAAAGTTTCTTGAAGCTTTTGTTTATAAATCTACACTGTCAATTTTTCAAAAACTGCTGGATCAGCTCATAACAGGATAACCAGTGTGTAATATATTTGAAAAACTTTTTAAGGCTAAGCACCCCTAAAGAGTTCTGATATTTTATCCAGATTATAGGCATACGGTTTAGTTGTTTTTAGATATATTAGGCACCAATTCCAGGAAATTGAGGGGGGGGGGGGGGGGGGGGGGAAACAATAGAGATGATGAAATTGAGAAAATGTCCTCCTTAAAAAAAAAGAATATAAGAACAAGACAATTGTTCTTTGTTTGTTTCACAGTCGTTCACTTCCATGGTTTTGGGGTGTAGCTAACTCACTGCTGTTCCGGCCCATAAAGAAACAGATGGGACTTGACCGGTGTCGGATCTGTGTGTCTGGAGCCGCTCCCATCATGAAAGACACGCTTGAGTTCTTCTACAGCTTTGACATCACCGTACTGGAGGTATACGGCATGAGTGAGAGCACTGGTGAGTTATGCCCCTTTATAAACAACGTCCTATGTACGTTTTGTACCAATAAGTCCCCTATCAAGGTTCTACTTTTATGTTTATGAGATATCCCATTACCATTGAGTGAAAGCTGTGTTGACTTTTAGATTATTCATCTTTCCTTTGAGTTGTGTCCCCTGATGTAAGTCTCTTAATGTCTTTTGACCCTTGATTTGTGCCTTCTCCCTGTTGAGTGATGTCTTTTTATATTTGAGTTATGTCCCCTTACATTTGAGTTGTGTCCCTTACATTTGAGTTGCACCCATTTCATAGTTAAAATACCCATAATATGTGAAGCAGAGTGTATTATGTTTTTGCCCCGTCGGTCACACTTGTCTGTCTTGTGTGTGTTTGCCTCGCACATACCCTGAATATTTCATGAATATGAGTGTCAAAAGTCAAGGTCACATATGAAAGGTAGAATTCCACTTTCACATTCTTTGTTGTACACTAGCAGCACATTGATACATTTTGATGAAACTTCACAGGTACATTAGCCTTCCTAATGCCTTAAATCAATTGGAATATGGGTGTTATTTTCAAATGTCAAGCTCACCGTTATTGAAAATTCAATTTTATCATGAATCCAGCAGACATGGAAGGCACTTTTTGTTTCGCTGCGACGAAGTAGCGGAAGCGAGACTAAGGTGTTGCTTTTCTGGCGGTGGCAGGGTCAACATTGAGTTTTTGGGTTAGACTGAATTTTTATTTAGTTTCACTGAAAGTATAAGTGCTAGACCAACCAAACCTGGACCATAGATGCGCATCGTCTTAGGTAGTACATTTCAACCCATGCATCAAATGCCGGATGCAGCCTACCTTTCATTGTCCAATGACTTTGTCAGCATCTCCATCAACATTAAGTTTTTGCATTTAAGTTAGTTTTTCTGATATATGCATTGATGGTTAAAGCGGAGCACAGGCGAGAAATATCAATCCGAATGGCTTGTTCTATTTATTTCAATCAGTATTTCTTTTTGTTTTGTTTTAGGTCCCCACACGGTAGGCACCAATGAGTGTTTCAGGCTGAGCAGTGTTGGTAGGGAAATCCCAGGGGTACACACTAAACTGGCTGACAAGGACGATGATGGAAATGGAGAGGTAAGCCATTTTCTCTCGTATAGAGTTGTCAAATCTAACTTTTCATCAATATTTCCAGGAATAAATATATTTTCAAGCCTATTTTGACGTAACCAAAATTTACCGGAACATACACTAGCCAATCTAGAAGAAAAAAGCCTCCATAAAACGTTTCAACAAATGTATCTCTGAGTTTGGTTAATTGTTGATCAATTATAAATGTAAATAAAACTGGATACATTAAAACTGATGCACTTTTGAATATATAATTAGATACCAATTTAAAAAAATAAAAGGATCACTTCAACCCAAATTGTTTGTGTAATGTATAACTTTTCATGATTTCCTGAAATATTTGTCAGAGCAGTTTCCAATTTCTGTTTTGGTGAAAAAGAATGATTTTCGAAATCTACCTGTATTCTGATAGGTGTGTATGCAAGGCCGCCATGTTTTCATGGGCTACCTAAACAATGCTGAAAAGAATGCAGAGGCTTTTGACTCCGATGGCTGGCTACGGACTGGTGACATCGGCAAGAAGGATGGAGACAATTTCCTTTACATCACTGGACGTAAAAAAGGTAGATAACTCCTTAATAAGGGTAGATAAATCAGTTGATAGAAATTTTTATCAACTAGTGATATTTCAATTAAAAAATAAATTTGTTTATCAGCATGATATTTTTTCACTATTGACAGAAGGATAAGTGAAAATCTTTCATAAAAAGAAATGCACCTTTTGAAAGTTCAAACATTAAACTAACAATGGTGGGAATGAAACATTTGACATACTTAACTGTAATCCAACTTTTCAATACACTAGTACAAATACCAATAGCGATATTTTTGTCTGGCCAGAGGTCTAAACAAATACCAATAGCGATATTTTTGTCTGGCCTGAGGTCTAAACAAATACCAATAGCGATATTTTTGTCTGGCCTGAGGTCTATATGATCAACTATTCTCATTCTGCCCAACAGAGCTGATCATCACAGCAGGCGGGGAGAATGTAGCACCTGTACCGGTGGAGGACAGTGTTAAAGAGGAACTGCCTGTCATTTCTAACTGTATGCTTATTGGGGACAAACGCAAATTTCTCTCCATGTTGATCACACTAAAGGTAAGTTTTACAGGTGTGACTAAAAATGGGCCCAGATATTATAAGTTACCAACCTGAAATGGCTGCACTTGATAAGAATATAGAGAATTTTTGTCGATATGACCCACTGTTTTTAATGAGAGAGAAATGGGGAAATAGTTGCAGGTCGATCATAACACATTGCTTCTTAGCCAGAACCTAGAATTTAGTAACAATCAAATACTCATCATGCATGGAAAGCTGCTAAGGTGCTTTGTCAAAGTTGTGAAGTTTGTAAACCCTGGGTCACTCATTCCCTCTTGGTATAATAAATACTAATATATACTTTAATTTATAAGGGAAATAACAGTTAACTTAGTTCAATTTAGTCTTGCTTAGGATAATTATCATGTGATTGCAGTTTGACAATGTATACATTCAGACATTGACTCACCCCTAGGGCCTGAGGAGTGGGGCACAAAAGGGGTCAAATTGCCTAAAATTTCAGCAATCTTCTTCAGGCCAAGATATGGTAGAATTGAATACTAAATAGACCCAGATATGTTAGAATCAAATACCCTTGATGGATTGAAAGGCCTAAAGGTGATTTAACAAGTGTGAATTTCATTTTTTTCCTGTCTTAAATAACTAGTAATGAACAAACCGGGTTTATTGATGACTTCAACGCATTTATTGTTTACTTAGGTGTTAGTTGACCCCGACACGGGTGAGCCAACAGATGACCTCACTAGGGAGGCAAAAAGCTGGTGTCAGTCGGTGGGCAGTGAGTCGACGAAGCTCTCGGACATCATCAACGATAAGGATGTTGTTGTCCTTAACGCCATCCAGGCCGGAATCAACCGTGCCAACGAAAAGGCTGTTTCCCGTGCAGCAAGAATTGCAAAGTGGTCTGTCCTGCCTCAAGATTTCTCTATCCATGGTGGCGAACTTGGTAAGTAAAGAAAATCGACAGCATGTATATGGGTGGATGGGGATATTGTTCAAATCCATGCCGGTAAAAAAGGCTGTAATCGTTGTCATAATAGCCTGGGCGACTATGAGAACATGTGATTAATAAAAAGGAATAGTTGTGAAATTATTGTCTTCTAGCTATTGTACACCTATTGGCAGGGTCGGGTCAGAAATATTTTAACACAGTTTTGATGAGTTTTAGTTTAGACAGTTTACAATGTGTGGATTCAATATTTCAGGTCCTACGCTGAAGCTACGGAGACCCATTGTCAACAAGATCTACCACAAAACCATTGAAACTTTTTATGCAGAAGTGTGATTTTTTTCTGAAGGCTACGTTGCAAAATTGGGAAAAAGGCAAAATAAACATTCCAGATTAAGAAACAGGCAATTATATACAAACATTCCAGGTTGTGAAACAGGCAATACGAACATTTCTGTGTTGTTGTGTTAAAATGTCTGTTGTAAAGTGTCAAGTTGACTTTGTTCTGAAGTCTTTTGAATACAATGTATCCAATCTCGATCAATTCAGGAATTTCAGTCGTGTTTGAAGATTTATAAAGTATAAAATCACGTATTATTAATTGTGTCATTGAAATATTTTGTGACATACTTTGTGATCTCCTAATACTGTGCTTCGAGGTTTATCCGTAAGTTGTAGGTGAAACATATTCAACAAAATATATCTTAGAAACAACAGGGGGGTGGAGACCCAACGCCCCAGCAAGGATTCGTCAGTTCCATAGTGGCGGTTATGTGCTAAATATATCTAATTAGTTTTATATCTGAGTATGCATGGTCCTCGGTAAAATTTGCCTGTGCACTTTCTCATGTCACCTCCTTTTTCATTTCACAATAGGACATAAAATCTGGCCCCAGTTTCACGAAAATCCTTTTATTGCAGGGTGTTCCTTCAGTTTTTCCTAAGGAAACGGTTCAAAAGGATTTTTTTTCTTGCAAAATTCTGTAATGCTTTGCTATGGAAAGCCTTAAATTGAGAATTTCTACTAGTAGAGGAACATTTACATTTGCAAAATTGTTGCATGTTAAGTTAAAAATCTGTTTTGAATGTTTCATAAGAAAGTATTTTCTGACAATTTGCTGCCACTGTTAGGCAACTGTTTGTCATTTCATGCACATGCATAAACTGGGGCCTGTTCGTTTATATGGAACAACCGGTTTGTCCGTTTGTAAATGTAACAATTTCGGATATAAATGTTGGTGGACCTGCACATGTTTATGCAGGCCTTGCAAGGCTTTGTCAGGTCTTGCCTGAAAGCAGCTTCAGATTACTAGGTCCCACCTTATTTAATAAACGAACAACTGTGGTCCGACCAGTTCAACCGTTTAAACGAACAGGCCCCAGTTTCTGCATGTGCATGAAATGACAAACAGCAATACCTATGTGTTGTAAGAGTTATGTCCCCTTGTATGTTCCCATTACCTATCTGGAGTGACTCTGAATATAATGAATTGTATTATTAATTTGACAAATCAGATCAATTTTGCCATATAATTCATCCTTTACAATGTGTTACCTTTCATAAAGTTATCTAAAAATATATATCTTCAATTCACCCAACCTTCCTGAACTTACGTGGTATACACGTACTTCACTTTGTTTGCTGCCTGGCCAGAGACGAATCTCATAATCTTAGACAATTGAGCTTTTAAAGTACTTGATTTAGATTAATTTTTCATATTATTGATCAATATTTGCAAATTGATACATACATATTCTACATAATTCTTTATCATATGACTAAGTAATTTGAACATAAGTGCCATTGGTACTGCACAGTTCATGTTGTTTAGTATACAGTTAAAGTATGGGGTTGAGGGATATAGCAAGTTTCTGGTGTCGCAAGACCAGGTATATTTCCCGAGGCGAAGCCGAGGGAAATAGGCATAGTCAAGGGACACCAGAAACTTGCTATATCCCTCAACCCCATACTTGAACCGTTTTATTATACAGATACACACTGCAGAAATAGTTTTAACTTGAAAATATTTGTAAACCATAAGCTGTATAGCTTCACAACCCAACTACCCCTTTGATGGCAATGGAGCCAAATGCTTCCGAGTTTGGTAGCAAGCTCCGCCCACCTCGCGCGTCGATTGCGAGTTCGGTAACAAGCTCCGCCCACCTCCTGCCTGATTGGCTTGGCGGAAACACCCGAGTGCAGGTGTGTTTTAGTTCCCAGACTAACACACAGGACTAAAACACAGTCAGGCAAAAGTGGGGATATATTCGATTTAACCAATTACTTTTATATAGAGTAAATAAAGGAGAGGTATAATAATTGGATATATAGCGCTTATACTTTCCCTCCAAGATAGCAGATATCATAATGGAAATTGAATGTTACTGATTTTTGTGAAAATTAGATTTAAAATAGTTTGCTCTACTGAATCATGTATTGCATACAGAACAATGACTACACTTGTGTACATTGGTATATTGCTGATGTGAAATGAATCATCAGCTGTCAGACCTTTAGGTGGTCAGAGCTTAGTGTAGGTTCTGCAGCTTTAGTTATAAACAGTGGTTAAATTATTTACATGTAGCTTGACCACCACTTACATATATGTACATTAAGACAGTCTTTCACACAAATAGTGTAGACTATATAGAATAATCAGGGTATAGTGTCTTGTCCAAAACAAACATTGTACCCATTTCTATAGCTGGGTAGACTGGAACAAATATTATAATAAAAAATGAGTTAAAGGTTCGCCATTCATGTAAGGTGGTTCTACCACAGTCAAGATGCCCACTACCAAATCATAAATTATTAATTTTGACTTGATTTTGGAAATTATAATCTGATGATAGATAGTTGTAATGTTATTAATGAAAGATCTTATTTATTTTTGTAGAAATGATATATATTTCTTATATTCTCCCGTGATTTTATCTAAAATGTATCTTCCTCAAATTGTGATAGCATCAAAAATATAATAAAACTTGAACAAATTATACACTCTACATATCTGCATCACGTTATACGGAGCCATAACTCCCATTTCTCTTTGCTTCAATTTTTCCATTTTCGTTTAGGCAAAACTATATACTGTACATGTACTGATAAATATTAATATATTTTTCTAATGTGATATTTGTTTTCCTGAAATGGACTAAATGAGAAAAAATGTAATACTGTATCCTTTGGATTTCAGGGTAAAATAGAAATAAAATGATATTGTATATAATGTTGAGATTTACAGGTAGAAAAATATGTGATTTCTGTAGCTTCTATAGGCCTGGTAAAAAGGTACTGGTAAAAATACAGAGAAGCAAAGAGAAAAGAAATGTGTCTAGTCGTAGGAAAATATTTAATACATTTCATCAGATCTGAAATCTTGTGAGTTAACGAACAAATGATTTACTATTAGATTATAAGATGTATGTTTGTTAATAAGGTTTTTTATGATGACATCATAACAGTATATTCGTTGCTTCGTAAAATCTCTATTATTTCTTTGAACTTTTTCCTACAGAATTGATGTGTCCAGATTAATAATGTCATACATGTATGTAGATGTCTATTGCTTAAAAATGTTTCATCAAATCAAAATCCAGAATGATCATTATAACTTTACATTTTACTTTAAGAAGTATCTTTTGACGTATTAAGCTCAGCTGACTTATCCCACGATACAGGCAATCCAAATCCTTTTTCAGCTCATTTTATTTCACTAACAGTATATGTATTCTATGTGGAAATGTGAAGAATTTAGTGTACTTACAAGATGAAAAGTAATCTGCTTGAGACTGCAAAATAATGTGTACAGATTGTTGCCATATTTCCGAACAAGTGCAGATTTTGAAAATTGAACCTCCAGTTTGTTATATGGGCTATTGTCCAATAGTTTGCGTTAAATAACCAATGAAAAGTATTGTTTCATCGTTCACATGGTTGAATAATTTAGAATTCTTATAATTGGTGAGATGAAATGTACAACAATCATTGTTGATAACAAAGCATGTGCACAGTGCTAAGATTACCAAGCTTACTGTCTGTACTAAAGCTTTGAGTGTCAACTCTGTGCTGTTATAATTATCATGTTCATGAGAAAGAAATATGAAATGTGATAACCTGGTAATTTGAATAAATATTTTTGATACATTTTGAGGCCTTTTTTTCCATTCAAGGTTGTTGCACTTTTTACCTGCGATTTACTTAGAATTATCTCCCTTAGCTTTTAGGTCTCCTGAGCTTTGCTCAACTGTCGTCGTGCTTCGTGCGTAAACTTTTTACATTTTTCGACTTCTTTTCAAAAGAACCAGTGGATGGAATTTTTAGCTCACCTGATCCGAAGGACCATGGTGAGCTTATGCCAATAGGGGAAATAGAGGTAAAAACCTTTATAACTCTTCTTCTACCATAGGGATTAAGGGATTTTATCCTAATTTAGTCTGGAGCATCCTTGGGCAAAAGGGACTCAATTTTGTATTAACAGTGTGTTTCTCCCCTGAGGGCAGAAGGGAGGAGGGGCCCAATAGGGGAAACCTAGCAAATTCTTCAAAACTTTCCTCTTCTGTAGGAATGACAGGATTTTGTCCAAATTTAGTATGAAGCATCCTTGGTGAAGGGAAACCAATTTTGTATAAATCAGTGTGTCTGACCCCCCCTGAAGGCAGAGAGGCGGGGCCCAATAGGGGAAATAGATGTAAAACCTTTAAAATCCTTCTTCTACCATAGAGGTTAAGGAATTTTATCCTAATTTATTCTGGAGCATCCTTGGGCCAAGGGAACTCGATTTTGTATAAGCAGTGGGTGTGGTCTCCAAGGTGGCAGAAGTACGGGGCCCTTTAAAGCAAACATAGCAAATTCTTCAAATACCTTCTTCTGTACGAATGACAGGATTTTGTCCAAATTTAGTATGAAGCATCCTTGGTGAAGGGAAACCAATTTTGTATAAATGGTGGGTATGACACCCCTAGGGGCATAGGGGTTGTGCTCTGTTTGAAGTTTGTTCTCACTATATCTCAAGTACTGGATGGATCTTTCTGAAATTTCATATGTACTTACAGCACCTACCATGGAGTGCTATATCTTTACTTCATACAAATTATTTTATACATATTCAGGTGAGCGATACAGCCCCTCTGGGCCTCTTGTTTTAAACTTGGTCAGAATCATCCTTGGTAAATGAGGCTACAAAATTGTAAAATTGGGATTCCTACGTACCCCAACCACTGGGGCCAGGGCCCCAAAGGGGGAAAAAAAAATGAAAAAAATTGAAAAAAATCTTCTTCTCCAGACTCCGAGATACTACTATCATTTTCTGTGCCTGGATGGAAAGATCATCAGGCGCTTAATTTAAATTGTAAATTTCAGGACCCCGGGGCCATCCGTTCTCCCTCGGGAGAATTAGTATAAATGCTATATTGATATACCCCGGTTCTTGCATCAATGAGATGCAGCTATAGGGTTGATTGAATACGTTATCAGTTTATGCCTGCTTGACTTGAGTAACAGAGGTCTCATTCTTTTATTTAGTTAAGAATAATTGTTTCATTCATATATGTGTGGAATTTACGTGCTTAAAAAATTTAGGTTGCGAATGCTGAATATGACCTATATTTTAAGGCTTTAATTCTTATTAATGTGTCAGTTTATGAAATAAGGTCGGACCTAGTATTCAGATGCTATTTTCAGGCAAGCCTCGACATATAGCCACAAGTGAGTGATCAAACTCAAACTTTACTTCAGAAATCAATGAATGCAAGCACCCCATCGGGACTGGTCTACTAGGGGGGAGGATACCAATGACATGTACTGCCTCCTTTAGTTAGCAGTCACTATTTCATCTTCAGCATCTGCACTCGACTCCAGCGGTATCAAGACAACCTATACATGATTACCTATATACAGTACAGCTCAAGCTTATTGAAATACAGATCACTTTGTCATCTTCATGTCGCTGTTGATTGTGTAAGTTGTCCTTAATTAATTACATAAATCCTGATAACTATTAATCTATTGTCTTTGTACACATTTTCTTGCCAGGTAAGATGCATTAGTGGTTCTAGTTTATAGAAAATATAATTTACTGTGGTTTGAATCCTCACACCTGGAATGCAGTATTTGTAGAAATAACTTTTCTGAAAATGAAGCATTAAGTTGTTATACTGATAGCAATTTATATAGTTTGGCTCAGACCTGGCCTGTGACCTTTTAACTGTGACCTAATAGTGAGAAGCCTGCAGGGGCTCAG